TATCATGACAATTATAGAAAACAAAAAAACTTGATAATTAAAAACCCTGGTTAGGACACATCAGAACATGCTATACGGGCGGATAAAAAAGGTTGTGGTACAACCACCCGAAAACAAGCAATGGGCGAGTCCAAGTATGAACACCTGCTCAAAATTAGGACTCATTAATCTTGACCTTAGTAGACTATGAAAATGTGACGTCACAAACCTAGTCTTTGCATATCTGAATGAAGATGGCTCCCGTTTAATCGGTCTCGGAACGTCTCAATTGACAAATTACCTATATAATATGACATTCAACCCTACAAACTCCACGGATGAACCGTCACGAACTAACGGATACTGGCGTGAGACGCTTAACGTATCTTCCGTCAGATTTCAACTGATCCTTATAGACAGAGAGCTCGAGACAAATATGTGCAAGAGGTTTCTAAAGCTTGATATTTCAGTGTGTTCATAAGTTTTGAGACAAAATAAAAGATGCATAATTTTTTTAATAATTAAAATATAACATTTTTCTAAAATTTTCAGTAACCATTAAATAAATAATAATTAACAATAAAATATAGATTTTATTCAAAATGACCGCCCTTGTTTTTAATACAGGCCCGTAGACGATTTGGCCAGTCATCAATGGCGGCACGAATCTTTTCCAGCGGAATTCGCTTTGCTTCTCGAACAAAGGTTCGCTTCAGTGACTCCAAGTTTGGGTGGGACTTTCGGCAGGCCCAGAGCTCTAATTCAGTCCATAAAGAATATACCAGCGGTTCGAGCTCGGGGCTGGAGGAGTGCCACTCGTCCACCGCGATGAAGGCCGGCACATTCTCCCTCAACCAAGCTTGTGCTTTTTGCCTTATCGGATAGCGCCGTCGTGGCGATAGTCTTGCTGAAAAACCCAATCCTTATTGTGAAATAACGTATCAGATAGGGGTTTCACCACGGGCTCTAAAATGTCACTTGGCGATTGTCCATCGCCCGCATTGTTTTTGATAAGCATATTAAAGGTCCGTATTATCCGCATACCTCTAAAAACCTTAAAAAGACGGTAATGATATGTTATCTTCACCACAGACTGCAACATTTGTTGTGTACGAAAACTTAGAAAAGGAACTCACTTACTTACTTAAACACAGAACAGCACTTTTTTCTGTTCTGTGATTTAAAACATTATTTAAATAAATGACCAACCTTTGTACCTAAAACAGAACTAATTTCGTACCTATATTTAAAGTAGCCTTTTTTTAGGGATTCGTACACAAAGAGATTAAACAATATATAAACTAAGCCAAAGGATAAAACGGGACACCGCATTACGTCAACAAATTAAAAAAATATTGTAGGTACCAAATAAAAAAAACACTCCCATAAGCCTCATACCAAAATTGGTAAAATTAAATAATATAAAAAACGATCATCTACGGATATATTGCGCGTGGCAGCTCATTTCCCAGTTTTTTATTTGAGAAATAACAGTATTCGTTACAAATGAATATTGTAAACTTTGAATGCATATAGTAATAATGTGTAATTATAAATATGATAATAGATAGCAAAATCTCGCTTCAATATTGTTAATTATTACAGAACTTTTCATAAATATTACAAGGTTGAAGACCTCAATTTACATAATACAAAATTTCCGGATAAATACTTAACTAAATTATGTATATTACCATGGGAATATAAATAATGATATTAATTACATAACATAGTTGAATAATGTTTTCAAGCTATGGCATTATGACTCATAAGCCAGTGGACAACCAAGCCTGTACAACTTTTTGGCCAAAGTCCAATCTTTTAGTAATCATTTTAGTCTGCTAAAGGATATAACTCCTTAAGCAAACTAATAATAATAAAATATAGCTTTCTTTATATGGAAAATCATATAAAATGTTACCATCTAATACGAAAATTTCTTTTGGAAATAGGCCGACTATAGACTAATTACTAGTCGACTAATTGGTTTTTAAAGTGCCGAGTCAACTAGTCGACAGTTTTGATCGAAAGTCGACAGTGGTTTTTTAGATACTGTTGTATAGTGCAACGGCGCGTTTCGTCAACACATTACTAGATGGCGTTATGCGCCAATGAATCGCGCTAACACTGGCGACACTAACAGCATACCAATTCTGCTAATGTTTTGTAATTTTGCATCTCGATAGAATCTCAACTATTCGCATTTTTTCGTTTAAACTATCTACCTGAAGTCCAATATTATTATGTATCTGTAATCATCGATGTGCGAAGAAGACATTGCACTAATAATATTGGACTTTAGGTAGATAGTACAATGGTATTTAGCAAGTCGTTGAGATTTTATCGAGATGCTATTATTACGTAAACATTAGCAGAATTAGACTACAGTTGTATGGGTAATGTCGCTTTAAAGTAATGATGGACGTTGTTGTGCAACTGGCTGTAAATGCGTTATGTAGGTATACAACAGGTCAGCGAGAAAGGGACGATTGCTGGGGTAGTGGGAACTTTTTGGTAATGCTTCGAATACACCGATAGGACTGAGGCCAACTTAAAACATTCTATATGTAGTATTCGCCCCTATAAATATGCGATGGCCTATCCAGTCCTGGTATTGTTTCGGTGACTAGTGAACTAAATACGAAAGTGATCAGAAGCGAGAACTCGTGAAGTGAACTATCAGGACGATCAAGTAGTGTTGTGAAGTGCCCATAGTGTGAAGTACAGGGAAATTTAAGTGTGTGTTTTATAAACTAATGTTCATGTAATTTTGTAAATTAAATAAAGATTAACATTTTAAATTTACCTAATTGGCAATAATTTTTATCCCGAACCCTAAGTCGTAACTGTCTTATACAATCTAATATAATGCAACACAAAAGTTTATATAGTAGTTGAATGTCCAATCTGACAAATATAATGACATTTAACCTTGCCAGCACCAGCTCATGAAATGAAATTTGACACTCTAGAGCAAAACACTGGCACTTGGCACCCTAGGCAGACACATTGGATTGACACTCTTAAATAAAATCAATATGTTATTTAACATGTATATAAAAAGTATAATATAGAGAAATTACATCTACTTAATGTTGTTTGAATGATGCTATGCTAATATGATACTTGCTAATATTATTATTTTGGAGTTAAAGAACTGATGTGAACAATGTCAGATCATTATGCACCACAAAAACCACAGAAAGATAACTGCAGGAATTATGTATTTAATTAAAATATTTTTATTACAATGTCTAACAGACTAATGAAAGAGACATAAGTGGTTGTTGTAAAATTTTAATATAGCTCATTTTATTATTATTTTCTTAGATTCTACTGCATATTGTTAATGTTGGCAGTACCATTATTGTTACTCCATTAAAAATAGTTACTCTAACAAAACTTTTTAAAATTTAATCACTCTACTACAATTAAACCTATTGCTATTGGATTCCATTTTATTCTTTGAAATCAGTAGGCTTACTCTTGAATGCAATCTCAATGTTGATTTAAATATAACTATTATTGCAGCTTCATTTCATATTCAGCATCATGTTATAAGAATTTGTTTTATAAGCACATGTATCTAAATTAGTCTGAAATAACATTAGCTAGTTTGAAATAATTTGCTCAAGTGGATTTACATTTTGGATTGCTGGTCCAGTCCTATTAGTTGTAGCATTTTGTTATATAAGCTTCCCCAATAAACAGATTAGTCAAAACAAAAGTGATTTTACAACTCAAACCAGTAGTTCCTGAGATTGGCGTGTTCAACAAAACTCTTCAGATTTATAATATTGTATAGATTATGCTGGATTAATTATACCAAACAATTAGAGGTAAGTATGATATGTCACCATAAGATTTTTTAATGACTTCTTAAGTCATAATGCAAATAGGAAGGCATAAACAACAACAACGTTTCATGTTCTAACACTAACATTATTATATTTCTTAAATTTTTGTACACTTAATAGTGTTCTAGAGATAACATGATTTATTACATGATGATATCACAATTTTATTAGCTACAATCGATCATTACAACTTATAATAGTGATAAAAATTTCAACACAATGAATAATAATATTTAGAGAAATAGCTTTTTGAGGTTGGTGCAAACTTAATGGTAAAATTAAACTTATTAAAAAATTAACAATATTATCTAATTCAAATATATTAAACTATACTAGTTTGTGTCTAAGCAGCTCTCCTAGAGTTAATTTTTAAAGTGAAAACTGGCAAAATAGGGTTGTGGTAATCTCACCCTCTATTGTTAATAAAATAAAAAAGTATTGTGTTAATATTTTTGGAAAATTAAATAAATACAAAATAACACCCTCTGTTCACTATTTGTCATATAAAATCAATCTGAATCCTACTAAACAAGTAAATAAATATAAATTAATATTCTGCTTAAGAAGCCTCTATATACCTATTTTAAATGGTTTTAAATGTAACCATATGCATAAAAGGGTTGATTGGGTCACCTCTTTTTTAAATTGGTCATAAGTAAACATTTTTAACTAGGTTTATTAACACAGGTGGCAATAAGCAAATCTTGACTTCTTGAAAATTTGTTCTACTTAATTTTAACTGAGTAATTATTAAGTAGTTTCAAAATATGAATAAATTTGTAAAATGATGATTGACATATCTTGTTAAACATAAATAGTGTCAAATCTAATTACTTTTAAAAACATAGTGTTTCAAGAATAGCGTTTGTAATATACACCTCTTAATCTTATTTAAGTAAATTATGGATATTAATTATCGTGTTAATTCATTTACTTTAGACTTGAGTAAAAATAATATGACTACACCATTTTCAGCTCAACCAAGTATGTGCTGAACCAATTTGAACAAGTCGTACTAATGCATTGTGGTCAACCACAAACGAAACCTGCATATTTTAATCATGTAAAACATAAACGCATACTTTCTCCCACTTCTAAATAAATGTATCGTGTAAACTATGAATGAAAATATGTTGTTTAAAATTGAATATATTCGTTACTTACGTCGTATGGTGCATTTTTTTCAGCAATCGAAGCTTTGTCTCGATCTGTAAAGAGAAAATTAACACTAAATAGGCCACGAAAATGGGTTGCACTGAACTTCGACCGAGAAATGAGATTATGCCACGGGTATGTTGTATAATCGATGCCGTATTATTAGATTTAGAAATGCACTACCATCGTCCTCTGAACTCGAAGGTCCTGTTGCGCTTTCTGTCTTTTTTGAAACGGTACTGTCCATCACTTCAATATGATCAGTGTCTCCTGAAGCCATTTTTGTTTTCCTGTAACCCCCTATTTTGAAGTCTTTCTAATCAATAAATGCACAATATTAATTCTCATGGCTCACATCACACATGCATTGCTAACACAACGAGTCACTTCACTATAATTTAATTAGAAGAAATCAATTAGTTTACGCGAAAACGCTCGCCCGAAGCACTCCACTGACACGACCGCTCATAGTAGCTGGGTTGCTAGGTTTGAAAACTAGTAGTACACCATAAACTAAACGATAACTTTTTTCGGTTGAAAACCGGTCAATAGCTTGTTTTACTGGATGCGTCTCAGACCTGACGACGACAAGCTCTCAGCATCATGACGCTGATCTTCAGACGAAGGCTTACAATTGCGCGTGAGTTGTTTATTATAAGACTAAATTAAGTAAATCGTCGCTGTGTAAAAACAAGAGAAGATAAGAATATCCCAAGTGCAATTTTTCTAAAGATGAATTCTATTAAGATTTAAAAATTATACAATATAATCGAAATAACAAAAAAATAGCTAATTAAATTAAATTAAATTATAAATACCTATTTAAAATTGAAATTATCGAATCAAAATAATATACTTATTTATTATAAATTCATTAATTAATTTAAAATAAGGAAGTATTTAAAAAAAACGAAAGTACTAAAAAAGCACCTCCATTAGATGGCAACAGTTGATTTTTGCAGAAAACTAATGGACCAAAGATAGTTATTTCCGTTTATTTTAACTAACATAGTAAAATACTGAAATTTGAAAATATCGAAACTAAGATATCAATACAAATAGGAAAAAATATGAGTTGTTTAATGAGTTTTTAAAATTAATTTACTTTTACACATGAAAGAAAACCGAAAGGGTTGTCATGGAGTTATCAAGAAAGTACCGTAGTGACATCTACTTTGATTTCGGGAACAAACTTTTTTTAATTCTTCCTCATTTCCACAAAAACTTCTGAAATTGATTATTACAAAAAAATGTCGTTGTTTTAAACTACTGTAGGACAATAAATAGCTGGATATAATATCAAGCATAAAAATCATGTCCCGTCTTATTGAACATGTCGTTTTATTTTCATCATAATGAAATTTTGGCTTCTTTTTTTTAATACTTCCTCATTTCCACAAAAACTTTTGGAATTGTTCATATAAAAAATGCCGGTGTTTTAAACTACTCTAGGACAATAAATAGGCGGATATTATATCAAGGGTCAAAAATCATATCCCGTCTTATAGAACGTGTCGTTTTATTTTCATCATAATGAAATATTTGCTTTAATCCTTCCACCATCTTTTGGTCACTTCGCATATACTGATTGTTTATGATCAGGCCCGTCTTTACCCATGGGTGCAACGCACCCCGGCGACGCTCGTCGACGAGACGATTAGTAAAAGACGGGCCTGCAACTGATTCAAATAAATTCTTTATGGGGGATGGGTCTCTTGAAATTGTTCAGTTTACAACGCATTTAGTTTTATTTTTTTGTCTTGGGGTCAAGTTGAAATATTATTAGATTGTATTTGCGAAGACAAGATTTCAACACCCCATGATTGTCGTGGCCTAGGCTGCAGCCTTATTGGCCTAGGTTAATCAGGCCCTGTTTGTGGTCAGCAAAACGAACTCATGTGTCGTTAAGAAGGATTTTTCGGATCCAATAATATGATAGTGCTGTTTGGAGAAACTCGACAAATTAATTACAGCATCAATACTCCAAGTCAGATTGGACACACAAACATTGTTGTTTGTTTACTTTGATGTAAGTAGAAAAACCTACATATAAATGATGTTAAACTCCAACTGTGTGTTTAAATTTTCACACAACACATTCACAAAGACCGTGCTACACTTAGCATTTATGTATCTTATTCTTCTTTTATTAATGGCGCATTTTGCGAAATTCTGCCAATGTCAAGTGAATAAATTAATTGCTACATGTAAAATGAAAATAAATGAATGAATGAAAGATCGCAATAAAACAACCTACATTCTGTAAACAGATTGCTTTACTCTGCATTTGTTTTGGTTTTTGCGTAGTTGATTTAATGTCTGACACGGGTATAATACCTATAACTCTTTAGTTTATACCTATCTGTGGTTTCGAGCTGGTCATTTAAATTAAGTTTAATTCAAATGTATGTAGATCCTATCAAAATCCTTGTAAACGATGCATGACTTCGAATAAAAAATATTTTCTACGTTCCATTTCAAAGTCCGTTCCGTTTGTCACATTTCCAACAAATGTGAATATTACCAAAACAACGACTACTTAGAAGACTGGAATGAAGGAATGAAAGAAAGAAGTGTAAACATTGAAAACGTTAACTTATTTATGGCAACACTAAACAACGCCATGTTTATTTCTTTACCGTCAATCGTTCCTTTACCGCGGTAAGGATTTAGGTTATTTTCTTATCTTAGCGTCTACTAAATAATTCATAATTATTTAGAAAAAAATATTATCATAAATATAGAACAAATAGCATCTCTAATATTGGTGTATGGTGTTTCATAATTACAGTGCGTCCGTCTCTATATACTGGGTTGGTTGAATTCGAAGAATTTACATATCTGTTGTCGGCGTTCCTTGAAAATGGGCAAAAAAGTGAGAGAATATAAGTCAGGAGACTTTATCTTTGCCAAAGTAAAAGGGTACCCAGCATGGCCAGCTAGGGTGAGTGCATAGCGTCATAAATATTTATTTTTACTAGAGAGAAATATTGAATGTGAACACTTAGCGCGGGAAGACATGTTGTATATATGCTTTGCGTTTACCAATTATCAGGCCTCGCCTACATAATTTAATCGCCTACATAACATAAATAAACCAAGCATTTCAATAAAGATGCGAATTTACTTGATTTCAATAAGAATCCAACTAGTTTTCATGACCATACAAAATGTCTAAATTATACAATGAATCTGATTGCCAACGCGTCGACGTCCGTTTTCAGTGAACCAGTTGTGATAATGAATAAATTCGTGATTGTGATCAGAATGTTTATAAAACTATAAAATTAACTAAATCAATATTCTAACTTATCTAATTTATAACATCAAATTGATATTTTATTTTTGAAATAACATTATATAAATTTTGTTTTAGGTACAAAAATTGAATGGAAAGAAATACTTTGTTTATTTCTATGGCACTGGAGAAACGTAAGTCCAAAGATTTAAATGAACCCATTTTTATAGTGGTGTCCAAAATTTTTATTATATATTATTTTTTTCAAATTACAGAGCCAATTTGCCTCCGAATATGATATTTGACTATGCAGAGAATAAAGACAAATTTTTAACTAAAACTGTGAAACGCAGAGATTTTAATGATGGTGTGAAACAAATTGAACATGACTTCGCTAATAATGTGCCACTGGAGCAAGTGATTGGAACAATTGCTGAGGTAAAATAAATATATATTGTTGACATATCAAGATATCACAAAAAGGGTTTGTAAGAATCCAATTTTTATATTAAAAAAAACAAAAGTTTTTTTTACAAAAAAACAATAATAGATTTACACACATTGCATGTTTTCTTTTTTTTTTTCTTAGTATAATGATTATTCTACTTAGGAAATATATTTTGCTATACAACTAATTAGTAATAAATAATAAAATGGAGTTATAGTAATGTTCATGAATTATATATATTGATAGTGGAAAGCAAACACGTAGTAACCTGCAAAACCAAAATGGATATTTAAAGAGGAAAATCTTTGTATTAAAAAAAAAATCTTATTTCTGTATAATTTGATGAAGGAACACCTTATTTATTACCACGGACTTTTATAGGAATTATTTATTTTAAAAAATAAAAGCTTTTCTGCTCTGAAGAACAAATTTGTTTTTGCGGGTTACTATGTGTTTGCTTTCCAGAGTCAATATGAACATTGCTCTGGTCCTCTGCTAAATATTGATACTAATTGTGTTTTAAAATTGTGGATTTCTTGTAAATGTTTTAAGAGAAGTGGTACCTAAAATGGAATTCTTTCAAAATTTTATGGAATTTTTTTTAGCAATCTGCTGATTCTGCAAATGACACTATGAATGATACCATGGATGAATCCATTGCTGATACTACAGCAGTAGATGATTCCGTTGATGATGTGAGTATTGTATTTTTATTTTATGCAGTTTTTTAATACTCTTACCATATAATCAAGGAAATTGTTGGTTTGTAATCTTTTAGACAATTTCTATTTTATTCAATCTTTGTCAACTAGACCACAACATTCAACTTTTGTGGCAACTATCTAATTAAGGTTGTGTTAGGTGTTTACATAAATATGATTTATTATACAGTTATTATTGATTAAAAATAAAAGCTTGAAGAAATACAACAGTAATAGAAAAGTGCTGTATTTATTTAACAAACATTAGAAATTTATATACAAATATTATAGAAGATTATTAAAAAATATTAGAGTGTTTAGCAAGGCAAAACAAATATAGATTAAGGTTTTATGCTAAACAGATTGCCATCTACTTAAATACTGTAACTGGATTTTACCAACTACAATATACTCAATGATTTTAAATTGATTATTGATATTTATGAAGAAAATTTTGTTTATGAAGTTTAAGTAAAGATTTGTATGTTTATTTATTTGACTCTTTGGTTGTACTATATTGTAAAATTATTTTATTAAAATTGTAGATTTTCCTGATAATATACAGTTACTACATTATACATAGGAGATATGCTTTTTGTGTCAATAAGTTTCTTTTTTAGTAAATATGATGACCAATCAACATTAAATAAAATCTATCATTGAGTAGTGTGCAGCATGTTTCATTGTGTAGCTATCTCCGAGGTCCTTGACCTCTAGTGTTTATAATAGAAGATTTCTCTTTGTGTTGCTTAATTTAGTAGTTCATTATACTGTTATAGATAACTATGTTGGATTCTGAATGATTTCTCTGAACACAATTTAAGTATATTGTGTTCAAATAAGAATCCTATATTATTTGTCTTTAGTCCAAAGTTTTACTTATTAGCTCAAGTATTAATTTGTCGAGGGGACAAACATCTTATTATATATATTTGTAATCTGTAGTTTGAAGTCTTGTTTGAATCTATATTAAGAATGAAATATGTTATGTTGATTAGGAATTGATTTGTTGCTTAAACTATAACGGGCCATTTGCATGATTTTTTTTTAAATGCATTACATGCTCATTTTCTACCAATATAATGTTTGAATTGCAATTGTAATGGAATGACATACTAGACTGTAACTTTAAAACCTAGTAAGTAGTAATCGTAAATGTAGCACTGGAGCGACAAGGGCAGAAAGCATCCGCACTCCAAGTCTACCAAATTAATTTATAATGATAACTAAATCTAAACAAATTAGAAATTGCTATTTGGTTAAAAAGACATCTAGAAATTACATGTTCTGCATTTAATGTATGTGATGTTGCCAGTTTATTTAAATGCCATTAAAATATCTTGTAGTCTGCTGGCAACACTACACAAAATGAGACAGGAGTGGAGGATTCTGATGATGCGGGTCCATTAGTTATCGACGAAGTGAAGGTATTGCAATTCTATAAATGTACAGTATAACCATTTTTATAAGTAGCATCAGCTTTATTCGTTTATGGCGAAATTATCAAAACCGATAGAATATTTGTACTAACAATATCGACTTTAATACGTTAGTGCGTGTTGTCGGGACATCGCAATGCTTCAATCAATAGCAAACAACAGAGTCAAGCCGCGTCCGTAATCTTGCTGACCTCCGACAAGTCGTCACAAATTCAAATGTCTGGATGAAGTGTTTGACTTGGTTATTTTAGGTTTGTAAGTTTGATAGCTGATCTGATTAAATGTCGGATCTTATTACAAATCAAATAGAATTTGCCGCAAGCGTTTGTTTGCGTTGACGCGTGTACAGGTACGCGTGTTAGTAGAGATCAGGACTTTGTACTTTTGATGTGACTAAATTTTGTCTTTCGAAACTTTTGCACAGTATATGTAGTGTGCACTATGCGGTGTAACTTATAAACATGGTTCTGCTGTAATGATATTTCGCTAGTTTCCATAATGCCTTTATGGTAATTAATCTTGGCTTGGTCTTGGCTTTTTAAATTGAGTCTTGGCTTGGTATTGGCTTGCACTTTTAAAGTAGCATAGAGATTTTTTATCGACAAGAACGAGGATATGAACCTTTGGTCTGACACTTCCTTTCTCCTTTTTGTATATCACATCTTTCAATGGAGTAAAACCTGTATCTCAGCAGAAGGTATATTAATAGATGACGATAACATAGAAGCTCATATTTGACGGCGACTAAAAAGAATAACAAAGTAACGGCTAAAGCCAGAAAGCACATTTATTTGAAATCCTAGCTTAACCTTATAATAATTGGCTACCCGACAGTTATAAATATAAATTATGAAATACACTCACAGGCACAATTAAGCGCTCACCTTCTATTCCTTTCAATTCGCAGAAATCGCCAAACTTGACCATATTTCATAAAAGGAATGTTAAAAAATATACATAAATAAAAAGAAACGACAAAAATATTCGAAAAAAGTCTTTTATGCTTACCATAAATCGATTATTTGAAAATCTTCAACGAAAATGTTGATTTTGAAAATAATGTAGCAATTAAAAGCAAATTAAAAATTAATAGTGGGTACCACCTCTAGCCCTTATGATTTCTTTGAGCTGGTTTGTCAACCCATCCATGATGTCTTGAACATCCGATTGGGGAATATTGTGCCACTCCACTACACTCCATTTCTAGTTCTATGTTCGTAGGTACCGGTACTCTTGCTCGGATACGTCTTTTAAGGTTGACTCAAATGTGCTCTATTGGGTTAAGATCGGGACTGCGTGTGGGCCATGGTAAAACTTGAATCATGACCTCATTAAGGTACTCATTGACGGATCTTACGCTATGGCAATGTGCGTTGTCATGCTTTAATCTGAAGTTGTCACTAATGATCGGAGCCAAAGCCATGACATGGTCTTCAAGAACTTCTTCCACGTATCTTTGAGCGTTTACACTTCCTCTATCGCACATAACAAGATCGGTACGAGCTTCATAAGAGATACCTCCCCATACCATTATAGATCCTCCCTGGTAACCTACTGTTTCAGTTATAGCGCATGGAGCAAACCTCTCATTTTGACGTCTGTAGACTCGTTGATGTCCATCTGGAGATCTTAAGGCTATTCTGCTCTCATCTGAGAGCAGTACGTTCTGCCATTCTTTATAAAGTCCAGTCGGCATATTCTCGTGCAAAACCAAGTATAGCTCTACGGTGTTGTAGCAGTTGCGGAGCGCGAGCTGGACGAAAAGCTCTCAAATTACTCCCTGCTATTCTTCTTCTAATGGTACGTTCACCGATACTGACATTTTTCACATCAAAAAGACGCGTACGAGCTTCAGTAGCGGTCAAAAAGCGGTTACCCAACACATTGGTGACAACGAAACGGTCATCTCGAGAATAATATTCGCCTACTATGATAGAAAATAACAGGAAATGCGAACTCGGTAACACAACAGCAACAATGTAAAACAACGACTAAATTCCGAAAACCCTTCGGTGCCACAAATTTAGGAAAGAAAATAATGGTGTTTTATTTATTTTTAACCACCAAACAAAACCACTTACAAAATCAGTTGTAAGCCATAGTTGACGGAACCAAACCAAGTTGATGAATGATACAGGTGGACGGTTAATTGTGCTTGTGAGTGTATGTTGGAAATTTTAACTTATTATTTAACTACATATGTAGTATTTTTGTTTTAGAATAAATTGTGAGTATACTTTATTTTTGCAAAGATTATAGTCCATGGAGCGTTGACGGGGCATTGTGTCGTCACGTCACGTAAACGTCAATGTCTTTGTTGCGAGTGCAACTAGTACTCATGTCTATTGAAATGTGGCGTCTTGGTTCGAAAAGTCACGTGACTGATTATTTTTGCGAGGGAGCTTTAAATTAATAAATAAAAATACGTTTTCGTTTATTTAATAACACTATTTGGAGAAATTAAATCTGGTTTTTGATAAATATGATCAAAAAAGAATTTTAAAATATTTTTCGCAAAACAGCCAAGTGGCAAATTGGTGGCTTTAGTTCAAAGCCATTATCATGATAAAACTTTTCGAAGGAAATTATTCGTGACATTTACTAAGCCAACTCTTTTTGAATGCAGAAAGGCAGAAAGTCTAATGCAGCCAAAACACCGGCCAAAGAGCCTCCAAAGGGTAAGGAGCCCAAGACTCCTAGGGGTAAAGGCAAGAAGGAAGAAGCTGAAAAGGATGAAGAAGCAAAGAAGGAAGAAGAAATTGTCAGCAGGAGTGGCAGGAAAATACGTCCTAAAAGGTGGGTAAACATAAATGTTCTTATAATCGTAAAGAGGGATTTGACCTTAGCATATCATAAAAGTACTTACTTTTACAACTAGTATTTATTGTTATAACCGGTCAAATAACCGATATACAATGTTTTAATGGCATTAAGTCTGCTATTTTGGTATATTACTTATTTTAGTCGACATATCTTTACATGCCATATTGGTAAAATGCTGTTTATTTCAGTTATTCATAATTAAAAAAAAATAGTTTTTTTATACTATGGATCTTAAAAGGCTTTGAGTCTAGAGTGTTTGACCAAAGCTGCAAAAAGGTCCATAGATAAAAACTGCGTCACCGCCGATGTGTTGTGATCTAGTGATTCATTGCATATGCGATTGTGACAAACATTTTCAATGCGAAGATTTATGCATAAAATACAAAAGGTACAGTTAATTTCAAAGAGCAGCAAATCTTGGCCAATAAAATTGATTCTAACAGAGCACCATCGACCCATCCGCACGTTTGACCTACCACCGGATGTAAGATGAACGTATAACATGTTATATTTTACACCTTATGCTTATAGAACAAGACTTATTATAAATTTTGTATGTACATTCGGTTGCTGTAGAAATACGGCTGAGAGAGTAAATAAATTTTGTTTTTTTTTTCAGGTAAAGTTTAATGTACTATTACCGATAATCACACATTTATGCTTATTATATTTATAATATTGCTTAAATTAATTGTGTAAAAACGAGTATTTTGTACTCGTTGTCACGTGACTGCAAACAGTGCGTGACGTCACGCCCCTATTATTATTGAACTTAGAGAATTGATCCTTACGCATATTCTATTATGCATAAGGATCAATTCTCTAAGTTCATGTTCATATTAGTTTCAGAGGGTCGTGACGTCATAGCGATGCCATGTCCGAAGTTGGCGTTTTTGAAAGCTAAATTTATTTATAGATTTTTAACTCATTAAACGAATGTTACTTTTATATATATTTCATTTATATCTATTTAAAAAAAATAATAGATAATTGTGTAGAAAATTTAACCACCACATAAAATTATTACTAATCTAGTGCTTTGGATAATATAAACTTGTTTAATTTCAAACCTCATAAGGTATATTAAAATTTATTTGACAATAGAGGACAACGTCTATCGGGTCAGCTTGCTTATTATAAATATTGAATTTTTGCCAACCCTGATATATATTTCCTCTCTTTACAACAGGTACATAGATGAACAAACTGAAGAAAATGCAACTTTACCATCGCCCGTTCAGAAGAAACGTCGCGCAGGCTCCCCCGTTGCAGAGAAAGAAAAGGACAGTGATAAAGTGAAAGAGAAGACCGAACCCGTAAAAGAAAAGCCGACATCTAAACTATACAACGCTGTCACACAGGTAGGAAATATGTATATGTAGTTAAAATAATTATTTGTGTGCAGGTCAAAGGCCTTATGATTATTACGCAGTATAGCTCCCCATCTTTAGCCCTTAGTTCAGCACAAAAAATATCTAAATTTATTAAATGATATACATAGACGTAGCACATTTTAAATTTAACTAGCAACATATTAATGATTTAGGTCTAATAGAATAAATAGATTATACACAAAAGATTTTTCCACAACAATGTACTGTTGACTGTATGTACACGTTTTCTTAAAATTAAAAACAGATAATTCATTTCCCAAAATTTTTTAATTAATTTTGGTCACCCATCTTATAACCGACCTTTGCGAAAATTGTTTAACCATATAGCAGACGGAATGCGCTAACTATTGCGGCATCGAGCTTTATTTTCTGTATTTTTTTTAACTTAACAGTTCTTCATTTTTTTTGCAGTCTGAACTCGAAGATCTAAAGGAGCCATTCAAACAAGGTGAGTTTATAGACTTTGTTTTATCATATTGTCGTGATTCAACAATCATGAACATTGATGAATATTAAAAATAAATGGTTAGGTATTTAATTTTAGAACAATCACAATCAATACCAAAATTTATAATAATTAAACATCTCATAATAATCTCGTTTTTAAAAAAGACAAAACAAAAGAGGAGTAAACTCTATTCATAACAAAATTAAAAAAGAGTATGTAAAAGAAATGTTGTGTTTGCCTTCATTACCGCGAAATAAAAAAATAACTAATCTTTGCCTCAAAAGAAAAAAAAGGACTAATAGCTTTTTTGTTTAGTTTTAATTCCCTAAAAAAATATAACGTTCGAAATTTGAATTGTCTATAGCAGTCGCGCCAAAAGCTCTTTTCTTCAATTTAGCCGTTACAAGATTTTCTCAATTGTGAAAGTATCTAATATAAATAGAGAATGAATAATTTCATAGATGATTATATTTTTGATCAATACGACTCGAATTTCGATATCGAAAGTTTTTATACATGCACTGAACAAATTAGCAAAAATGAGTTGAATGAAATTTCACATACAATTTCGTCGAAATCAGGTAATTAAATAAATATTTTTTTCTTAATACACATCATTTTAAAAAAGATGAAATTTTTTGCGTGTAATCTTTAAGATGAAAAGAAATTATTCAAATTATTAATTCCAGAATCACAGAACTCCGAACAAAACATAGAATTGAAAGCTCCAGCAACTAAAATAGTGCCAGAATTCTCTAAAAACGCAAATTATACGTCCAATAAACTCAATAGGAATTCCAAACTTAAAAAATTTGTACCTCCCGTGAAAAGAATTGAAGAACCACGAGCACACGCTCAATCCAACAATAATATGTGTAGAACATTAAAAGGAGTTTCTGCAAAAAAAACATGTAACATAAATGATGAATTTCCTATGTTAAATATTGGAACGTCTAAAGAAACCTCTAAAGAGTCTGTACAACAAAACTCATTGTCTAGTCTCATATTGGGCTCTTATAATATATTAAACGACGAAGAATTAATTTTAACACAAACAGCTACACAGAATACACAAGAACCGGAGACGATCGATTTGACAGAATTACGTAGAAATATATCTCAATCTTCTGTGGCTTCATTGAAAGTCTACAAAGATTTAGATGCGAAGAGTTTTGAAATAAAAACAAACGAACATAAAATACCGGAAGGAGATGATTTTTTCAATCTTTTCAAAGGCAAAGCTGCCAATGATGATTTCAAACCGGTGGCTATGTCTACAGAGTTTGGTGATATAGGTTATAATGCGCATTATTCGGAATTTGTTAGAAATTTTTATATTGACAATGCAGAGAATGAAACTATTGATACTTACGAGATGATATTGAAAATGTATCCCAATGAGAACAAATTGCGAATTGGCAAAGACAAGAAATAATTATATATTTTTTTTATAATGACAAAATTATTTGATAAATACAGTTGTTGATTATAAATTTAAGTTGTTGTTTTTTATGTTTTATTATTTAAGAGTATATATTTATTTATATCATCTGCGAGAAAGAGGAATATGCCTCAGATGTTAAATATGCATGTATATGTATTAAATGACACAATTTTTTTTACCATGCACTTTAGGGTAACTGTTTGTTGATGTTATTTAACATTACATTGTTTTCTATTTGTAGTTATGTGTCATAGAAACACTATTCACTAGCACCTGTATAAACATATATATATATATATATATATATATATAATAATAAAAAAAACTATTTTATTCTGCCTTTGGTATAAGTTAGGATAAGAATACATAAACTTGATACATAAAGTTATAGTAAATTATTTGTGTTTATTTGTGGTAGAACCTTACTAAACTGGCATCATAAAAAACGGGTTGCCCGATTATTGCAATGTTTGGAATACTGGAATGCATAGACAATTCATAAAAGAAAATAAATCATTTGCTCTATTCTTTTAATAGAACACAATTAAGGTGGGTTGTTTTTATTTTATTGGATAATAGGGATGATGGCCAACTTTTGTTTGTTTGTCCGTCAGGTAGAATGTAAAAAAATATTAAACACGTATTTTTTTATTTTTTTCGTAATCATAAAATTACAACGTTATTGCGGCGGCTCCTATTTATTGCCGGTTATTCACTTGCATATGTTATATTTTTACATAATGATTTTTTATTCTTTGTCTATAGAAGACGCAGAGAAAGAAAACATATTGATAACATATCTACCGTCGGGCCAGTACGTGGGCGTGAAACTGTTCCAATCTAGACCGAACTCGTTCAAGAACGAGGCCGCTAGACTGGCATGGGACAAACAGGCGGCCGCTAACTCCGTCACGATCAAACTGCAGCTAGGTGAGTACAGTACTAACAATCAGGGCATGAAAGGTTTCAGGTTAATTTATCTGTTTATTTTTAAACCGGTTTGATTCACTTGGTTTTGAACCGTTTTTAAATGAAACCCCAAATATACAGTTTATTTTATTCATTCGCTCCCTTAAATCGGTTAAATATCATTCTGTCTATACTTAAAAAAAAAACAGGATCTCATACAACAAATGTGATTTTTCATAGAAAAATCGTACACAACCCTGTAAGCTCTAGTTTAACCCCACTTGACTGGTTTTGTATATTGCTGCCGATTTCTTATTTCTCTTTTCTATCTAAGTCTTATTTCAGTATATTACTGATATTCTATTTGATTGCTTACAATCCATTTTAGCAGATACTTGCTGCCAATTTTTTTTCACTTTATTATATAATAATATTGTTATTATAAATACTGCTTATTTATCGAGTGATTTACTAATTACGACGTAGTTTTCAAAAAGTTAGATTATTAATAAGATTATTTGTTTCCAGAAAGAGGTCAAATCACCCCCCAATCTGTGCTCGCACAGTTAGTTATGGATCTGAATCTCACCGATGAAGAGAAGGCTTCGTTGGATAAGGAAAGAGAAACTGGTATGTTGTAGTGAACAGTTTGTTAATACAACATAAATAATATTTAAAGAAATTCTATCATTGGTTTTTTAAAAACTGAATATTTTTAAACATAGGCCTTCCATATTAATGGAATCAAATAATTATTAACTAATGAAGACTTCCCGAATTTCTATCCTAAGCTGCATGCAGACCTCATTGATGATCCAGTGAAAGTGTGCCTAACATGTTTTGAGGTTGCTGTGTGTACAATAGGAATCCTGATCAATTTTGTTTGTCTGTCTGTCTGGGGTAAATTATTAAAGAATATTTAACACTTTTGCATAATCAATAAATTGCGGCGATATATTGTGTTAAAATTCGTATGACGATACACGTTTGTATATTTTCTTCATAGTTGTGACGTAGTGAGCCCCCACTCCTCAACTTTAACGCCTATTCAGCCGAAACCGAAAGTTATGAGAATCCTATTTTGAGAGAAAAATATAAAAAACATTATAATAATCAGTCAGTCTTTATTTTTAATCCGACTGCAATCCTTCTGGTTATGTTTTTTCGCGTATATTTTTTATGTATGTATGTAATATTCTTTCTTAATTCAAAATAAATTACACCAATAGGCCAATCACGATATGATTAGCTACGCGGACGCGGCAAATGTCTTCCTATCTGATTGGATAGAATTTAATCCACTGAACAAAACCAACCGATCAGAGCGCGAGAACTCCCGAATGCGGTTTCGGTCGTACTTTCGGCAGGTTTGCCACCGAAACCGAAAATAACCGGTCGAGTTTCGCCGTTTCGTTTTGGACACAAACTAAATAATTTTAAACTTACACAAGTTTTTATTCTGTCTGTTATTATGCCGCCCAACTAATAAGGCTTGTATCAAATCAGTATTATTATTAAATGATGTTCTATTCAAACTAGAATGCCGTATACTGTATCCTTCTGACATTTTCTTGACTTTTAATAGAGGAGAAGAAGTCCCGCGTTCAGTTTTTGAAGACTGAAATGAAGCTTATAGAGTTGGACGCCAAGATCAAGACTTGCCTCTGCTTAGAGAAGGCGGACACCGACCTGTGTTTGAAACTTTTGGACGAACTCGCTGGTGAGTATTCACTTATGTGCCCTTATTTTTCAAACACCACTAATTTAGGACTATTAACATCATGAGGGGTTTACTTTGCAAAACGGAGTCGGGATTTTTGAAAGGTATTATACGCATTTCTATTTTAAATTCACTTAATTTTTTCGTTTTATTATTTTACAACAAAATGTTTTTAATATTTAGCAAAAAAAGTTTTAGCATGTTTTTCAAAGTAGACCACTCAAATAACAATACATGTTACTTATAGATTACTTGATAATTAGTTATTATTTGTTTCCCTGCAAAAATAAATTATAGTTCATTAACCTAAATCACGTCAGGGAGCAAAAGTAGCGTCGTCGTTCGTTTATGCATAAAACTTAGACCTATAACTATCACGTCACAACAAATTCATAAAGGTACACTTAATAGCTCTTATGTTTAAAGGTTAACAGTACAATCGGCGGTCTTATCGTTAAATAAATGTTCCAGGCAAATGAAAGTTAGGCTGGTCATTTACATAAAATATGGGTATTAAATGGTGTCCTACAAAGTCAGAATACAGGTTTTTTATACTGATCTATAAGCTCCCATCATCAGTATCATCATCAGCCTTTTAACGTCTTGCAGGTAGTTGCAGGGGCTCAGGCGTTCCTTATGAATGGTCAAGAAGAATGACTTTACGCCACCGAGCTACTCGTATATATTAATCACCATCGGTATAAATAAATGAAATATGTTCGACAGAATTGGACGTGAAACCTCTAATGCTATTGAAGCATCCATCGTGTTTGGAGACAGTGAAGCGTATGCGCGCGTACGTCGGCAACACTCCGTCCTGGGATCTGTCTGAAGAGGCCGCAATACAGTTCAGTAAACAAGCTCACAAGATAAGGAAACAGGCAGACTCGCTCTACACACATATGAAGGTAAATCTCACCTTTCATTACTAGAATACGTCCTAAATATGCCGCTGGACTTCCTTCGTGAGACAGAATCTACATGTGCTAGTGATGCAATCTGGTGACAAACAGTTGCAGTAACGTATTACTACACTGTTTACTACCAGATTGCATCACTAGCACTGTAGAGTTTGTCTCACGAAGGAAGTCCCGCGGCACATTTTGTTCCTTTGTAATAAAAGCGAAAACATTGTCCGACTTCTTTCGTGAGGCGAACTTTAGTAGACTTAAGTAAAAACATAGATCTGTAGAATACTGTAATGATATAGAAACTAAAAAAAGGAGAAAGGATAAAGTTGCTACTACGACGTATATTCACACTAAATTTGCGCAATATCAATTCATGAATGTATGTTCAAACACTTACAATAAAATTAATAAAACGCCATAACGTGACGTCATTCTGATATGTAACCAAAATAAATGCGTTTTGTTTACATACCGGAGAGAGGTCACGTTACGACCAACCTATACAAAACCATAATACTGTAATGATATAGAAATTAAAAGGAGGAAGGATAAAGTTGCTACTACAACATATGTTCACACTAGATTTGCGCAATATCAATTTATGATTTTATCGTCAAAAGTTTCAAAAAAATAAAACCTAAAAATATATTCATCGAATTTAAAGAAATGTAATACACACGCACACATGCGCACGTGCGTTCGCGGCACAAGTACTCACTAGGATATATAATAAAAATATCGAAGAGTGGTTTCCTGTAGCAGTAGCACAGGCACTTATTATATGTACTTAATAGAGAAAACCAACATATAAATTGTTAAAACTTGTAATTTGAATAAACTTTATTGTTATTATTATATCATAAATAAAAAAATCTACTTTTTATAAAAAAAATAAACAAAGATTTTTTTATTCAAAGTAGATAAAACAAAGATTTTTTTATACAAAGTAAATTACTGGAAGAAATCGCTGCCTAGCGATAAGGCCGCCTTTTGTACGTTTTCATGTATTCATTTATGTTTGTTTATGTAATTTTAATATGGTTTGTGCAATAAAGAGTATTTATTATTATTATTTATTATTATTTTTTCTTTATTTTTATATATTTTTAATATATGGCTTATTTTAAAATAAAATAAACACAAGTAGGTACTAATTCAAATAGTTGAATACGCTATTGTCTTTTATTCAACAGACATTATTTACAACACCAGAGGGTCTTTCATTTTGGGAGTTCTTTTCTGAGCGTGTGCTGCAATTCAAGAAAGTCACAGCCGCGCTTACCGCAGATGAATTACTGGAGCTAGTTCACGAACCACTTGGTTAGTATAAATATTTCATTCACACAATACAACAATAAGTCGTTTTCATTTTTTTTTTAATTAAACCATTTCCCTAAATATTCGTTCATGATACCATTCCTAGCATTTTACTACCGATGGTAACTTAAAACTGTTTCAATGACGTACCATCACAAGTAAAGTACCGACCATATATTGTTGTAACGAATTGATCTGTTACCAATAACCGTTCGCAGGCAAAATGTTAGAAAATGGCGTTAAATCGATCGACGCTTCACAGAACTCTTAAGTATGTATGATGATATTTAGAGTAGCCGTCTATAAGCATATTTGATAGATGCATCTCTATATAGGTCTTGAAAAAATGTATGTAAAAACAGTCTGTATAAACATGACATTCACTCGACTCTCAAAACTATGACTAAAATTCAAGCTAATTATGAAATAATGGCCCAGTTAAATTGGTCAATGACATCCGCGCGCAGCGCTCCGTCGCGTTTCTGATCCTCGCATTCGTTGACCAGTTATTGTTGTATTGACTAATGAGATGAGTTCGCAGAGGTCCGGTGTAACTGAACCATTATAGTAGAAAACAAAAATGCGACCAATCTGACTATGTTATGAATAAGTCTTTGTAAAATTGTTACAGAGTTGTCGATGCCAACGGCCCACACGATGAAGGCAGCAGTAGAAGCAGCCAATGAACAGGAACCGCCAGAGAACGAAGCAAAAGATAAAAAGAAAAGCACTCCTGGTAAGTAAGACACTTTCAATGATACATAAAATAATCTAACAAACTATAATCGATATCCAATTCATAATTTTAGTACAAAAATACAGGAATATATAATGGTATATTTCATGTTGCAGTAAAAGCAAAAAAAGCTACCAATAACACCCCTTCCAAACCAGCTGTAAAGAGGCAATCATCTAGAAATAAGCAGCAAGAAGAGAAAGAGACTAAAAAGAATGACACAGAAGAAAAAAAGGATGAGAAAGAAGAGGAGAACTCGGAAAAGCAACCAGAAAATGACACAGAGGAATCTACAGAAGACAAAGCAAAGGAATCAAGTAAAGAAGCTAAGGATACGACAGCAAATGAGGAATCTGAAAATGGAAATAAAAATGAGAATGAAAAAGAAAGTACTACAGACATGGATAATGAAAAAGAGCCTGAGAAAGAAAAAGAAAATACTAAAGAAGTACCAGACGAGAGTAAAGATGAAAAGGAGAGTAATGAGAAAGAGAAAGTAAATAATGAGAAAGAGAAAATGAATAATGAGAAAGAGAAAATGAATAATGAGAAAGAGAAAATGAATAATGAGAAAGAGAAAGTGAATAATGGGAAAGAGAAGGCTGAAAGAGAAAAAACGGACGATAAACAGGATAGTGAATCTAAAGATAATGACACCGAAAAAGATAAAGAGGACAAAGAAATGACTGAGCCCAGGGCGAAACGTTCGAGAGAGGTAATTGTATGTTTTTTAATTAAATCGATTATTTTGAATTGATAATGCTCAATTTAAGATAGCGCCTAAAGCAAATCAATGATGTTGATTGTGAAAAAAAAGCCCAACAAACTTATTAAAAAAAAATATGTGAAATAACTGGACTGAACCGTAAATGTACTATCTAGTAAAAAAAAAAACTCTCAGTACCTTTAACAGTATGTTTCTTTTGATTATCACAGATTTTGTGGGAACATTATAAATATGCGAGTAGCTTTGTAAGTAAGGTTTAACGCATGAGAATCCAGAATCGAGAATTAGTAATTTGTTTTCGAATAACCAATTGCATAGTTTTTGGCGCCATCGTCTATCTCCTTAATAGATTTCGCGATGTCGTTTCTTTATATCTGTAGCTTTATGCGCACTCTTAATATCACAAATATGGTAATAAAATATCAGCAGTGTAACAATTTACTTGCCATTATTAGGATTCGAACCTGTCTTTCGAAATCCAGGCTATTGCTCTAATTAGATGGTTAGAAACGGCGAAGCTTTTGAAAGAGGTAATTATATATATTTTTTTCCATATTTATAATATTTCAAAGTTTTATCTAGGCCCTTTTTCCTAGTTTATAGTTGGACGGAGGTGCGGGTAAAATCCAGTATAAGAACACATTCATAATTCAAAGTTTAATATCATTTTTAATAAAAGCACATACATTGGTTTAATGCCCGCAAATTGCTAATGAGTCTGGCCGCCATTTCGGTTACGTAATTGCTAACGGTACCGACTATTATCGTTGTCTGCTATAGTTAAGTATTGTTGTTACTTGTTTAATTGACAAAATAGCAACTATTTTTTATGATTTCTACAATAAAGGTTCTTATAAGTGTTTATTTTAATTTAAATAAGCCATAAAACAAATATTTCGGGAAAATATTTCTTGCTTTTTCATCATTTTCTTGCTTAAAAATTAAATCAAAATTTAAACTTTTATACCCGCGAAAACGCTGTGCGTCATATTCATGCCGTCATTATGTTATGTATACAAAACATATGCATAGATTAGTAGATTATAACATGTCAATAAAACAAGAACACTGTCATATTATGGTCGATTACGAAATAGAAATATATTTGATGTAAGATAAATAGGTGTTGTTTAAGACTATTCCGACAGCTGTCGCTATAGTGACGTCACACAATGGCCGATCGTGACTCAAGTTACGTGACACACAAAAAAATCTCGACTTTATGATAATTAGACAATAAATACGATTTTATGACTCAAAATCAAAATCGCTATGTTTATTACAATGTAAATTTTAGGTTTTGTGCAATTTGATGATTTATTTATCACTACAGAAACTGTATTGTTTTAAACCCGCAGAGCGAATCCGCAAAAATCCGAACCCGAATTCGAATTCACTCAGGTGTCAGAATTCATTTTTAAAGAAACATCCGCTTAACCTTGAATTGGTATTAACGTTTCGCGGCATAAGTTTTGAAATGACATAAGGATAGAATGTCTGAGGTACGTATCAATCAATCAATCTTGGATTGTATTTTTTACAAAAAATGGATTTAATAGAATTTCTACGTTAACATAAGTTGAGCGGATTTTCTTTCGAAGCGAATTCGGAAACCTGAGTGAATTCTAATTCGGGTGCGGCGTTTTACGGAATCGTTCCGCAGATCTAAATATCTCTCGATAGATCACTATTTTTATTTATCAATGTTTAAAATCATTTAAATTATTTTTATGTTTTTTAATTATTTTTATTTTAACATTTCAAGACACTTGCAAAAAATAACATGCTAAGAGTTAATACATTATTATAATCTGAATTCAGGGATAATTAATTTACATTTGACTAATCAATAACGTATTTATTATATTTTGTGTTATCTGTACCTTCTATTTTCAAATTACATCACGGGAGTGTTATTTTGACAAGTTTCTAGCTCATTATCACTTTGCGGGACTTGTATAGCATTTTATCAAGTACAGTCAAATTGACTTGCTTAATTTTTATTGTAATATATTTGCAAGTTAGGGACAGAATAATTAAATATTTTGCTAAGTGTATATAAATATTACTGGTAAATCTGATCAAAATCATTTCCACTATAAGTTATATTTTTAATATATTTTTCAGAGTAAGAAGACTGAACCACCGCCTCCGAGATCGCCAGCAAAAAGAAAGTCGAAATTCTAACTGTTACCTGTGAAATTGGATTTTATTTTTATACAAGCAACGGTCTTTAAAGATCGACAAGTACACGAACTAAATCCTAGTTGTTAATGTAAAAATAATATCTGTAATAGTTACTTTGTAATTTAAATAATATTAATTGTAAACATTAAAAAAAGATAATGAATTTCGATGCTCAATTTACGACAAGTTAATATATTTTCTTCGAAAATTAAAGTTATAACTACATGTATGAGACATGGATGGCAGTATCAAATACACCAATTAAAATATTTTAAAAAGTATATTTCTAAATTAATTAACTTCCAATGCAAGGGAGATTTAAATACACGGCATAAATATTCGTAACCGAAATAATACTTTGTATCGCACAATTTAACTTCAAAAATTTGTAATTTTGAGAACTACAATATATACCTTGTATATTTTTATATAATGTTAAATAGAACATTTGTAAAAATTCCAATGCTCTTGTTATGAATAGAATCGGCAACGATTGTATACATTAAAAGATATATATTGCTATGTGCCCAGCCAAGAGTGGTGCCTGCTAATAATTCCATTCTAAGGCAACAACTCGGCAAGTTTGAAGAGATGTTAGGATCAGGTGGATGTCGTTGTAAAACTATTAAGTTCTCATTATATAATTTTATTACCACAGATTTATTGATATTTGATAGAGTTGATGCAATATTCATCTCTGCTCTTGATCTATGATATATGAACATAAACAATGACTTTTTAAGTGCTATTTTATAAACCAGCTTGAATGAGAATAGTGACAAAAAAACTAGGACAACTATATTTTATTCACAAGTGATGCTAGTAATAGTAAAAGATAGTGTTAGCTACCTAAATCTTCCAGTGATTTTTTTATTAAAAATACCTATACGTGACTGTTTTTTCTTATTTACTTTTGACGTTTGGATTAATTTACATGTTCTTTGGTATAAACAATATTTATTTCAAGAAAAAGCATTTCATGCATGCTATTTTGTACATTAATTGCATGTTGACCTATTGATTTAAAAGTTCATTCAATATGGATGATTATATTTTAGTATTTTGTTATATGTAATAGTTAGATATTTTATTTGAACATGTTTCATGATATAAGTTAAAGCTGGTGATATTGTGTAAAATTGAAGCTTAATCAATTTCTTTTATTTTTGTAGGTGATGCCAGCGCTCTATACTTTTGAATTAAATGATTCACCTTTTCAGATATATGACGTTTTCTGTACTGTAATTTAAGGGATTCTGTATATTTCCCCAAACGAAAAAAAATTGCTGCAGGTTGCAAAGTACATTATGTTAGTTCAAAATATCACTTTAGATATAAAATTTAGTTTTAACTTGCATTGTAAATATTTACAATAAAAATACTTGAAATTAATATTCTGGTTTTTTATTGAATTTATTATTATAATTTATGTATGGTATCTTCTCCTCATCCTTCTGTTTTCTTCTGGATACATGTTTAATATTTTCTTGGCACTGTCTCTGGCTTCTTCGGTAACTATAAAATTAATGATTTTTAAATTGAGGTTGTAATTTTGGAAGAACTGTTTTTAGGCTTTTGATTTGACATTTTAAAACAATGGATGAATGTAGTACACATGGCTGCATATCGGATTACCACATTATGTCAAATTTCTGCAATAGATTTTGACCTATATCTATAATATTTTCAAGTTTTAAAATCGAGTGTAGAAATTTAAGTTTTGGTAGTCTGAAATGTAGTTGACTGTACTAAAATAATAATCACAGCATTTCGTTTCTGTCAAATGAGACTAAAACATGCGATTGGAGTAGTCTAAAAAATCTAGAAAAAAAAATTACTTTAGCCATTTATCGCCGCTATGAACACCAGACACAAATAAGGAATTAAAGATGACCTGGAAAGTTCTTTTTGAATTCATTATAAGTACAGAGATTTGTGGCGTTATTAGACTGACGTCAGCCCAGCAGCGCCACAGCCTCATACTTTTCTGAAATATATTTATTATCCTTAATTCGCTATTTGTCCTTAATTCGTAATCAAGGCACTAGATGGATCGAGAATTCAATTCAAAATCGAAGAGGGGGGCGCTGACAGCCTGACAAACGCGTGCGATTGACGCGACGTTCACAATTTTTTAATGTAAAGAAAAGTATGGGCGCTTGTGCACTACACTGAATTTTCAGGTCCGGCGGTCCGATTTTTTCCGGTCCGGAATGACATGAAAAACTCGGATGAGTAGCTTGTGCACTTGTCCGTTTTTTTCCTGATCGGAGCGGCGCAGTGTAGGGCAGCTCTCTTTGAAACTACACGTCACTTACGCTAGGTACGATGAGATTTTTGGAACGTCGGTAATTCCGTTCGAAGACGTAGAAAGGTACCTAAATAATGGTCTGATCGTTTTACATAAACCATAATAAATTATGGCAAGACGAAAGCATTTTTTTTACTACTATCGGATGACTACTATCAGATGTAAAAACTTATACCCTTACTAATTTAGGAACAGCATTATTCACATACAATAGCTAAAAATATCTGTGACATTAGAATAAAATTACTGATAATGGTCTAGCACTTGATGTTTAAATTTTTAAACGTGCTAGTTTTTTTTGAAGTTTTGTAAAAACAACTTTCAGCGATTACAGAGATAGACCAATCGGTGGCGCCATTTCGTAAACAAATCGAAATTAGTGCCGTGTCAGCGGAGAATTATTAAGCTAAATGAACTTTACGAGATCAGTTGACTGTATTATTTATAGGCATAATTTTATACGCGTGGTGTAGTTTCTTTGAGCAGAAATATTATTCCCTTAGAATACTTCTTTTTTTTTAAAATTTATTAATGACACAAACATACATATAAAATTTTATTAAATACGAAAAAGACATTGAGTGTCACTTAATTACTTTTGTTAGTCTTCTGTTTATTTTTTATTATTACTCCTGTTGTCAAATATTTATCTATACTAATCAATTGTCTAAAAAAATTTGATAATGATATTTTAAAATTTGATATACAATTTTTCGGGTTAAAATGTAGCCTTTGTCCTTTCTTAAAGTTAAGTCTATTTACTATATTAATTTCCATTCAGATGGGTTCAGTTGTTTATGCGTCTAAGCGTAACAACACTTATTTATCTTACCTTAAGCCATCGATACTTTTAATACGATTCTAAAATCTAACTAAGTATCGATACTAGAACCATACGCTGATCAAAATAGAACTATACCGAGTTTGCCAAAGCATATGCAGTGATATGTTAAATCATCATATAAAATATAGCATTTTATAATCAACAATAAATATCGATTATAAGTTTATTGGAAATTAACAATATTGCCGAAATAAATATCGATTCAAATCAATTATTTTTTCCCAAGCCTATTCCTTATGAATTTTCCGGATCGCGGTCACAGCAGTGCACAAGCGTAAACACGTTTTTCATTGCCGCCATCACGGACCTGAAAAAACCGGTCCGGAATAGAGAAAAGTAAAATTCCGGACGGTAAAATTCCTGACAGTGCACAAGCGCGCATTACCTACATATGGCCTGACATATCGGACCTGAAAAAATCGGACCGCCGGACATGAAAATTCAGTGTAGTGCACAAGCGCCCTATCAAAGCTCTGTGGACAGAAATACCATGAAAATACGGACGAATCAAAAGTGTTGAAAGTAAAATCGCATCGCACGAAACTACTTTATTATCGTGAAACTAATACATGCACTGCGAAAGTGTATGTTTATCCGTGTGACTTCTAGCAGAATTATTGCAATGAAAGTAGTTTTATGCAATTACTTTAGTTATTTAAGTCCGGAATAATTTCAAGAACACTATCGTTTCTGTGGAGCTTATTGGTGGGGGTTATCGACCTATAACGCCCCGTACAACAAAACAGTACAATGATAGCGATTCATAAAGTTAACTTTTAAAGTTCACACAATTCAGGGAAAATCTGCCCATGATATCGGCTGTCTTACTGCTCTGGAAACGAACTATGGTTATTATTAGTTTAACTTACATTCATCCTCAATATTATATCGAGCAAGTCTCATATCGAAACCAATCCCTTCATATTGCATAAATAAAGGCATTGTACTTTTATTCTCAAACATATAAGGCGTGTTTGGTGAAAAATGACCTTGAAAAAGATTTAAATAGCCATCACCTTCAGGCATCACATGGTTTTGCCTATACTGCCTATGTGCAACATTTTTTATACTGAAATTATATTCATCATAACTGTTTGCATCATTGCCAAATCGAGAACTGTAATTAGGACGGGAAGAATCGCGTGGAGTGATGTTAGTATCATCAAAACCAGAATCTTGTGTTATTGTTATAGTTTTGAATGTTCCATCAGGATTTATGTTATTTAATGAATCATATTTTGATTGAGTGTATGCCTCATCCTCAGTTATAAACTCGAAATCGGATGAATTATAGCTACAGCAAGAGTTCTCATCAATTGGATATGGAAATCCTTTGTTAGAGTCTTTCGAAGTTTCCTCAGAGTTTTCATATTTCTCAGCCCTTGTTTGTATTTCATTTAAATCAATATTTATTTCTATTTTATTATATGTAACAGAGTCATATTTATCATTTGTTTCTTTAGAATCAATAAAAAAATCATTCAATTCACATTTTTCATCTTCATCAGAAACAGAAATTACAGATATTACATCATCAGTATAGTCAACATAAGGAGACTTATTACACTTAAATTTGCCTTCAATCTCATACAATTCTTCAATACCGGTAGGATTTTCTGTTTCCTTTTTGATACATTCATGTTTATTATTTTGGTTATTATAGTCTTCAACAAAATCAATTATGTCTTCAATATCATTCATATTAGCTTGGTGTGTTGACGTATCTTCAAGTTTATCAATACTTTTTAGATTATCTAAGTCTAATATCTCTGTTTCTTTATTTTTATGTTGGTCTTTTGAATATATTGAATTGTCAATTGGAGATATTTCTGGAATAATATTAAATACATTAAGTATTATATTATTTAGTGTTTTGGGCTCACAGCATTGTGAGTGGTCTGTATTATTACTAAAATAATGTCTTTTATAATTTTCCGAATGAATATCATTGTTATTATGTTCAGTGTCATTAGTGATTGATATAGCATCTTTATCTGCATTTTGCATTATGACTTCATTATTGTTCATTTGCTCATTGTTGCTAATTTTTAAATCCAATAAATTGTCGATAGCTGTGTACATAAGCCCAGCATGCACTCCAATAAAATGTGTAGAATTATCAGTGGAAAGGGTTTCTTCTACAGAGCTTTTATTGTCTTTTGCCATGTTTTTTTCTGGTATAGTGATAAGTTGTCTGAAAATTAATGTTAAAGTAGTAACATAACATGCATTTTATTACAATACTCTATTTGGGCAGGATTAACCACGTAGCAAAAGTAGCAAATGCTACGGGTCCCACACAATTGGGATCCTCTCTATGGTTCAGATCGAATTACTTATTTTTTTCAATTCAGTGTTAAAAAATGCAAGAAATAATATTATCCATACTTCTGACTAGTCATATTTTCAAGTATGAATATAAACACATAAACTGACAAAACTCAAACGCAGGGGATTTACGTATGAACTAGGTAGAGTAGACACTACAATAGATTCATCAACAACGTATCTCTAACTCCAAAAGTTTGTAAGTACAAATAGGTAAGTTTTATGGGGTGATGTTTCACTTAAACGTGTATATAATGATTAGGAGTATTAAATAAACAGAAGTGATTTTTGTTAGATTGTTTGCAGTGCAGCTAAAAATCTAAGAACTTACTTGGTGGTGCTAAAATAGTTGCTTGAATTTTTGTTTCTTCACGAGTTCATAATATGTAGTCGAATGAGATTATGTTCATTTATTTGCTTTTCCTCTACGACAAGTAAGTAACAAATATTATAAATATAAATTTTACGAAAAATACGCTGACTAATTGGACGTTTTAAAATGCGCGGGAAAATAATACTAATTTCGTTTCAAGCAAAGGGAGCTTAGTCCATACAGCCTGCCCTACCTTATTATTAGGCTTCTGTTTTCAATATAAATTTATACTTATATTACCTTATAAATCTATGGTTTTAACTGAAACAATGATATTTTGATACTTCTTTGGAGTTTTTGAGTTAACCGAATGTAAATTTATTATATATTTATCTGTTGTATATTTCATAATTTTTGCAATCGAAACATATATCTACCAAAAAGTCCACACGATAGATCCTGTTATATTTTGTATTTCCGCACTAAATTCACGGCACGCTTCGTGATCGTGACGATTAACGTGGACAAAGACTACAGTATATATTTTTTCATAAGTTCGGAGTTTGGATCATGATCGTGGATTTTTAACCACACAGAGATAGGGATACCATCCACCCCGGGTTTTCCGGAACAGTCCCTTATTCAATGACGTTGTCCCGCGTCCCGATATCTGATAATAATAGACAATACAACGTATTTTTAGGAAAATATTTAGAAAAGTGCATCATATGATTTGTGCTAACTGCTGAAGCGGCGGATTTCTGTAAAGGCGTTAGGTGCACCTTATGAAAAAATTTTTTTGTATGATTATGTTTTTTGATCATTTTGCGTCCGGTTGTCATTTTGAGAAGTTTGAGTGACATTATGAGCTGAAACATTCTTAATTATAAGGTTTTTTTTACAAATAGAAATTAAACAATAATAATATTCACAACATTTATTCCATAAAGAAATATGCAGTAGCCTATTATTCAGAAGTTGAGAATATTAATCATTTTGCACTGCACTGTAATTAAAGAACCTATACCATTAACCCTTAAAAATATTTGAAAGAAGCAATGAAGATTATCTCTCAGAGCTGATGATAAGGATCCAATTTGGCACTTTGTTAAATGAAATTGCCATTTCAAGACATTACAAACATTACAGTGCTTTTTCAAAGATATTAATAGTAACAAAGATCATTATAAATCTTACATAAAAATTTACGGCCTATATTTTAAATGTTAAGGTATTAAATTCCGTCTTGTCACTTTTTCCCTGATTTCTTGATACCACCTTGTGTGAGAGGGCCTTTTTGTGATGCCTTGGCTTTTGCTTCCTGCAAAATATATTACATTACTCATAAATTTTTAAAGAATTTGTTAGTATTTTATACTCACCATATTTTCCATTAACTATACCTAGATAAATTATTCTAATTAAGTGGCATATAATGTCTGTGAATTTAGATTAGTATGTGAATGAATTTTTAAAAATGGATCCAGTAGTTTAAGTGCCTATTGAATCATTCTTGTTTATAACAGTAGTATAGATAACCATACAATATTACAGCTCTCATCTATCATATTCAACAAGCTTTGTCAATTTCATATATTTTATTTTAAATTATTAACTCAGGTGTTGAAAATTGAATTTATTAAAACTTCATACCTGCAAAGCCTTTTGTTGTTCCTTTAACTTTTGTTTTAATGCAAGGTCATCGTCGTCCATTTCTTTATTTTCTTTTTTAGGGGCCTTTAATGGTTTTTTCTTGCCACCCTCACGGCCAGACATCTGAAAATATATAACAAAATATAATAACCATCTTGTAAAGACACAAGTATAATTTACAGGTAGTAAATTATAGCCTATGTCACCCATTTATGATGTAAGGTCCCATAGGTGAAAGTATTTTTAATGTCTATTGGTTTCGGAGCCCATTAAATGCAAAGAATCAAATCTTTCCTCTTAATAATATTAGTAAAGACAACAAAGTGCCCTAGACATTTCTGCTTTCGTCTTTCAGGATGTGATAAACTTAATGTTTACCACTAATTTTAATGTTGTTTTCATTAATGGGCAAAGTGATTAAGTAATCTGTCCTGGGGTGCAATACATGTATTGATATTGCAGGATGTTACTATCAGTATCATTATAATATTAAATTGCTTATTTGGCCTTAATACAACTATATTTATGTCCTGTGGGATATAGTAAAATAAATCTTTGAAGCCTCAATACTATATAATTATAACATGATGATTGTTTGAATTTTCATTGTGCGAGTAAAACATGTTGCATTTAATGAAAACAGCTATGTTCATTATATGCGTGTATTGCGGTATTTTCGTACTAATTTAGCACTAGACTTAAACAGATTGTAATGCTTATGACAATCTGCTCTGAAACAAGTGCATATTAGTTGTTTTGCGAAATTTAAAGCAGCAAAAATAGCAAAGAAAGCAGATTTTAGTGTCACGAGAATACTTATCTTTTTTTTACATACGATTTTATAACCTATGCGATATTGATTGACATGCTTTATATTATATGTTGATTTGAAAATATCTTATATTATACAGATACTTACTGTTCTGAGCTTAGTTGAAGAACTGCAACAGAAAATTATCCAAACACGTAAAATCTACGTAAAACACACCTTTTTCTTGACGATTTTCTTTTTTATCTGCTTTTTTCTGTTAAAAAAAAAAATATTACAAAAGAATCTAGTTCATACAGCCTAATCCTAGATAATAATCATAGCGAAATTATGTATATTTATGATAAAAAATAGATCTCTAAATAAAAATAGATGTCATGATGTTCGTATTTAAAGTTGACTAATGGAAAAATAAATGAAAGAAAATGTACGTTCCTATTTATAACAGATTTCAAAATCGAAAAGGAGAAGGTTTTATGTGCAACGGATAAGTATCAGTAGGGTAATATTGGGCATTCTGTCCCCCACTCGTTCGTGTCGGCGTTTTGCCTCCACTCGCTCATGGAATGACAGTATGCCCAATATTATAAATAGATTACGTAGTTTTTTGGCGAAAATCCATAAAATGTTTCTGATTATTCGCACTTCATATAAATACTCAAATTTGTACAAATTGACTCACTTTATCTAGAACACCCGAAAGAATTGCTTACTACTATGAAATTTATAAAACAATCTGAAACGTTGCAATTGGATAGAATTTGTTCAGATACTGAGACAGTTATTTCTCGACATGGAAACTTGCTTCCTAATTCAGTTCGGTGTTTAGTTTGCGGTCCATCAAACTGTGGAAAAACAAATTTAATAATAGGTCTTCTGTTGCATGAAAATGGATTACATTTTAAGAATGTATATTTATACTCAAAAACACTGTATCAAACTAAGTACATTTATTTAGAGAACGTCTTTAAATTGCTACCTAGTGTTACGTTTGCAAAATACAGTGATAATGAATTGATTCTCAGTCCACATGATGCTAAGCCCCATTCTGTAATAATTTTTGATGATGATCAGTTCAAACCAATTCTTAAAACGCTTCCGCTTATAACTTGAATAGTCACACCGTTTGTACATTCAGTCAGTCAGTGTTCCGATAAGCAACGTGTAAAGTGTGTGTATTTAAACAGTGAGAAACAAAATAATTTATTAGATTCCAATTATCATTTAGATGTTACCTAGCTAGTTAGGGGTTATTGGTATTACTTTTTAACTATATTGGGTGAGGAGACATGAACCAATCGGGTACAGAAAAAATCTAGAAGTCAAGATGGTAACTCCGAAGCAAACTGCACTGAATTTTTATTCAGGGAGACCATGAGCCAATCGGGTCGAGACTTCATAGAACTAAAACAAATATGATACTCAAGTGGCAACTCCGAGGCAATCGGCACTGAATTTTTATTCAGGGAGACCACGAGCCAAACTGGATGGAGTATATAATTTTTGATTTTGATTTTACTAAAATTATGATACTCTAGTGGCAACTCCGAGGTAATCGGCACTGAATTTTTATTCAGGGAGACCACGAGCCAAACTGGATAGACTATATAATTTTATTACTATAATTTCCGGGTGTTAACTGAGGCAAGCTGCTCATCCATAAAGTTATACAAGTATACCGTAGTCCTGTCGCTAAATGTTTAATATGTATGTTCATTGCGTTAGGCATATTAAAGGAATCTAATGAATGTTTACGTCTCAGTCAGTGTAGTGAAAAAATGTGATCAATCTCGCTGCCGTGGTCACCAGATTAGTCGATTATCCATTCAATAAACTTGAATTAAAAAGCGTGAATAGCATCAATTCTCTAATAAATTCTTATACTGAATCCATTTATAATATTGGGCATTCTGTCATTCCATGAGTGAGTGGTGGCGAAACGCCGACACGAACGAGTGTAGTAGTATCTTTCTATAAGTATGTTATCGATTTCTCCGCGTATTGTTGGCGATTTGATTAGGGCTTCCCCCCCCCCCCCCTGGCAGTGTGACGGTTTGTTGCAGATTTCTGCTTTTCAGGTAGATTTTAAACCTAAAATTTAACTATGGCAGATTGTGTTGATGATTTGAAAAAAGTGGCAGAATTAGGCAGATGTCAAAAAATCTTTATTATTATTTATGATCGCCATCTTTCATTCATTTCATTTTCATTTTACATGTAAAAATTAATTTATTAACTTGACATTGGCAGAATTGTGCGAAATGCTCAGATAAGCCATTGATAAAAAAGAAGAAACATTTGTAATGAGGAAGTATTTAAAAAAAAGCATTAGTCCCCGAAATCAAACTAGATGTCGCTACGGTACGTTCTTGATTTCTCCATGACAACCCTTCCGGTTTTCTTTCATGTTTAAAATTAAACTAGTTTTCAAAACTCAATAAACAACTCATATTCTATTTGTATTGGTATCTAAGTTTCGAACTTTTCAAATTTCAGTTTTTTAATATGTTACTTAAAAGGAACGGAAATGACTGACTTTGGTCCATTCGTTTCCTGCAAAAATCAACTTTTAGAATAGAATAGAATAGAAAATTGTTTATTTAGCACCAAATTACAGGTATATAACATTGATAATAGAAAAATTCAAAATTAGGTACTAAAAAGGTCTCCGCTCAGCAATATGCCGCAGCGTTTAAGCTACGGCGCTGATTTTCAGCGGATACCTTAATTAAATAAATAAACAAACTAAAAAAATAAAATAAAATATGATAAGGAGGAGCACGTATAGCATCACATACAATTACATGCAATTTACAAGACACATATATAAAGTAATTGTCCAGTTTATAAACTTACAAGATTTACAATAATATAATTAAGTATAAAAAAAAAAATTAAAAAAAAATGTGTGAAGAATGGCAAATCAATAATTACAATGATATAATAGTAATAATTAAATATTTATGATTATAAAATTAACAAAAATAATTCGCAAACACAGCATCAATATTAACATACACAGCTATTTTCGCTGCCCCCGCAGAACAACGTGCTAAAGCTACATTACGACGTTTTTAAGGTTTTCCCATTTTTGGCTTCTAGGATGCCAATACTATCATCTAATTTTTTTTTATATCTATTTTCTTAAAATTGACATAATTATTAACTAAGACAACTTTTTTCTAGGGATCACTGTTAAAAAATATTTTATAAGAATAAAATAGAAACAAGCAAGTACAATGCAAATGTTTCTATCTCTGTTACGTATTAATCGATTGCGACCCTATTCCAGAACATTATCATACCTGCGAACCCAGTAAACCATTTTACGACTATTTTCTGATAAAAAATATACGCCCTATACGCCGTATTTGAATTTACCGCTCCATGTATTTGAGTCATGTTGTCGTACATTTAACATGCCATTATTCTTGATATTAGAAAAATATGCAACTGTTACTATATAAAAATATGAAACAACACCACTTCTTGCTTTTTCATTTCAGTATCAAAAAATGATATTGAAAACCTCAAACATGATGACAGTAGATAGTAACTGAATAATATCGCGCGACAAGAAAATTCGGAGTTGTGAAATCTTTCGAAGAAAATTCGGAGTTGTGAAATCTTTCGAAGAAAATTGTCTTCAGATTTCGATAATATTTCAGAACGATCAGTTTTGCCCCACATAACAAATTATGTAAATAAAAATAACAATGCAATTAAAACACCTTCAACGATTTCCAATTTATCTGAAGAATTTGATCGAAATTATAAAGAAAAAGCTACAGTGAATGATGAATGTATTGATAATATAAACAGCATAACTTTCTTGGATTTCGATGATTATATACGACATAAATGATCACAACATGAGCACTCAAAGTGAGTCCAATACTTCAACAATTATATTTCAAACCACTAGCTTAGAAAATATCCACGAAGTTAGTCAGAACAACGGTGTAAATATTGCATAAAAACAGAACGTATCTCAAAGTCAGTTGGAAAGCCTATTGAGGAAGATGACATTTAAAGTATCAAAATTCAATACAAGAAGTAGAAAATGAATCTGAGATAGGAACGCAGTCCAAAGAAGGAAACAAACCTAAAGAAGAAAAACAAATGGAAGAAGAAAACAAGTCTGGAGCAGAAAATAAGTCAGAAGAAGAAAATGGGTCAAAAGAAGAAAATATATAAACCTAAAGTAAATTTTTTACTAGAAAACGTAACAAAAATTAATGGCAAAATAAGAATAATAAATTGCTTAAGAATTCTGGGCAATTTTATACCGGGGTCAGTTCTAAAAGATCCCCCAAAAAGCATTAGAGATCTTTGCAAATTCAAAAAGAAGTGCTGCGAAAAGTTCACTGATAAATACAGAAAAGCTATCTTTGTGTCTTATTGGAGAATTGGTGAGCATGAAGATAATGGTAATACATTTTAAGATGCAAAAAGAGAAAAAAGTTATAACTTATTTTTTATCATTAAATGGAAGCAAAGAATAGGTTTGTAAATCTTTTTGTTTGAACACATTAAGCATATCTGAAAAAAATGTTTATACAGCTATAGAAAAGAGTGAGAATGACGAAAACATACATAAAAGTGGAACGCAATAAAAACCACGAAAAATAAATATATCGACTAAACATAGCATTTTAAACGCACATCAAGCTCTTCCCTGTAGTAAAATATCTTTACACAAGAAAATAATCAAAGAGATTGTGTTTGTTAGAAAATTTAAACATAAGTAAAATGTATCGCCTGTATAACGAGTGGTTTAGTAATCACAAAACCGATCACACAGAAGGGTGTACACAGAAGCGACCAAAAAACAGTATGAATTTTATTTAATAAACTTTTTGATTATTCATTTTCAAATCCAAGAAAGATCGATACTTGTGCTTTGTATGAAGAAAGAATGGTTACCCTCGAAGAAACTTATAGATCACCCATCAAGATCAAAGAAATGGCAAAAGAAATAAAGAACAGTTGCTACATTTGATCTCGAGCAAGTTTTAAATACCCCGCAGTCAAACGTAGGAGTATATTTCATTATAAGAGGAAATCCCCTATCTATAATTTTACCATATTAAACATTTAAATCTTCAAGTATACTGCTACGTTTGGCACAATGAAAAAGATGAAAAAGGGAGCTATAGAAATCGGTTGTTGTCTTTTAAATTTCATCGAAAACGAACACACAAAACAAATATGTCATAATGTTATCTCCAAAATACAAGGTAAAAAATGATTTTATCACATAAAAGCGCTCGCAGACAAAATATATTTGTTACGGAATTTTATATGTAACAAAGTAATGTGGTCAAAAATAAAACATATAGATCCTGATATACTATTTGTAAATACAATGCGATATAAATACGAAATCCGAATTTGAGCCTCTAAAAACTTTTTCTAAATAAACATGTGGAAGAAGATCAAAAAAACAAATATAGTTCATTAAAAAAAGTATTTTAATTAAAAAATAGAAAAGAATGCAAACAGAAATATTTAGTTGTTATTATTAATTATTTCAAAATGCCATTAATTAATAACTTATAGATCTAGAAATAAATTGTTTGTTGTTTGGTTAGTTATTTTTTATAAAAAAAAACTTATTTTTTTATGAAATACTGTTGATTTTAATATAATTCTCGGTTTTTTATAGCCTTATCCTACTATTATTATAAGTGCGAAAATTTGTAAAGATAGGTGTAAAAAAAAAGGTGCAATAAAAATAAACATGAAAGAGATTTCTTGTGCAATGTTCAAAAGTGTACAATAATAGCTTATGATAAAGCGAACTAGAAAAATATAAATTATAAAGTTTAATATTTACATGAGATAATAAGTTTTTAATAATAATAACATTATATTTGTATTTAAAATGAAATATTAATATTTTTTTAATTGCAACCTATTGTAAAATTATGTTATTGTATTAATTTGATGCATCATCTGGTTTAAACAGAATAAGCTGGGAATAACAACATATATTTTATTACGTTATGAATTTTTCTAGATCTTTCCCAGAAAAAAGTCGTAAAAAGCTGTTACTCACGGCGAAATACAAGTCAAAATACATTGAAAACTGTTGTTATGTTTAGTTGCCGAGTTTGTCGTAAAGGATATAATGTAAAATAACGTTGTCACATCACTTGCAATTAGAATCAGAGAAAATATATGTGGTACATTACATTTTTCTTATTATTTCCTTGAACAACTTATTGATTTATTTTATTATTATTGTATAAGTTAGAGAAAAAAATCTATTTTAATTTAACATCAACAGAAATTATTTTGATCCAGTACTTTTTGAAATATTAACCAATTTATGTTTTTATTTTACCCTGTAAAGTTGTCATTTTTATTTTACCACGTTATTCTGTGGGGGCAGCGTTTTGATCTTTGAATATTCATTAGGTAATCCTTAAACTTGGTCTTAAACGGTCAAATACTTTTAGCATTTTTAATAGGGGGAGGGATATTGTTCCAACATTTTGTTGCAGAATAGCTAAAACTGCCACGGAAAGCAGCCGTGTTATATTTCGGACAAATCAAACGCAAAGCGGTTCTAATTGTGCGGTTAGAAAATTGAAGCCTATCATACAAATATGAAGGCATACCGAAAAGCAAGCTCGCAAAATGCAGTTTACGTCTTGACTCCATATTCATTAAGTTGTGTTTATTCAGAAATGGTGTAACATGCGACCTGCGCGGTATTGAGAAACAAAACCTAGCACATGCATTCTGAACTCTTTGTATTAGCTTCTTTGTACAATTCAGCAAGCATTCACCAGTAACACAATCAGCATAATTCAACTTTGATAGTATAAGAGATTCACAAAGACGAACTCTGGTATCCACACTGAGATGTCTACGAAAACCATACAAAACCTTTAGTCTATAATAACAATTACCAACCACTTCAGCCACGTGTCTTTCAAAACGTAGTTCTTCGTCTATCAATATACCCAGACTTCTTGCCTCTGCTACTCTCTCTATATTTACATTTCCTATTTTTAAACCCAGGTCTGAGTCATTCAAGTAGCTCATATGTGCCTTGGTAGCTATAACCAGAAATTTAGTCTTAGATGGATTCAGAACTAGGCCATTTTTCTCTGACCATGCTACGATTCATTCAAGATCATTATTGATATCAAAAAGCGTTTTCCTTAGTTCTTTGAAAACTGGGTGCAAACTTTTGTAAATTTGCAAATCGTCGGCGTATAGGTGGTGTTTACTGTTTAAAATACAAGTAGGTAGGTCCGCGATGTACAAAATAAAAAGAATAGGTCCCAAAATAGATCCTTGTGGTACCCCATGCTTAACAGAGGCAGACGAAGATAATCTCTTTGTACCATTATCACCAATAACCTCAACTCTCTGAGAGCGACCAGTTAAATATGTTGAAAACCACTTAAGTGTTTTTTCATCAAAGCCATAATATTCCAACTTTGCAAGGAATAGATTTATATTTAGGGTATCGAAAGCGCGCGAATAATCAAGTAAAACTAAAACAGAAGCCCTCCCTCTATCTCGTAACCTAAGTATATCGTCGAGGACATCCAGAAGAGCAGTAGTCGTGCCTCTACCAGCTCTAAAGCCTGACTGCTTCTGAGGTAAAACATTATTATTATGTAAATATTCTGTCAACTGCTGATATATTACCTTTTCTGTAATTTTAGATAAGTATTTTAGAATCATAGTGAGTACTTTATCGAAAAGCAAATGACAAAAGCTAACATTCGATCGCAACATAAGCATGACATATGTACTATGTCATCCTCTAGTCATATACTTGACAAAAGCACTTATGTTGCTGGAATCAAAATATTTAATAAACTGCCCCTAAGATTAAAAAGTATTAATGGAAATGTGTTTAAAATACGATTAAGGGAGTGGTTGTTGGATAAATGTTTTTATAATTTGAATGAATATTGGTGTTATGTAAATGAATAGCTATTATTGTATGTCCGAAATGGGCAGCTGTTGGAACTGACTTGTTTATGTAACATCTATTGTACACAGTTTGACAATAAAAAATATTATTATTATTATTATTATGGTAGTATACTTATTGGGCGTAAATCTTTTAGCTCTGTGGGGTTATTTGTTTTAGGAAGCGGCTTCACGATGGCTTCCTTCCAAGCATCGGGGAAAATTCCCGTCCCAATAGATTGATTAACGATTGCTGTGATAACTTTAAGAATAAACGGTAACGTTAATAATACCATATCATGAGAAATACCATCCGATCCCCGAGCATTGGAAGTTATATTAGTAATAATTTTTCCTACCACCGTTTCATCGACTGGTTTTAAACTAAATGAAGCAGAACCAAATCGATTTTGCGAAAAATATGACACCATAGTAGAACTAACTACGTTATTAGAAGGTAATTTTAAGAAATATTTGTTAATATTCTTAGGATCATTTATATGAACTGGTAGAGCAGTATTACTGTCTTTAAAATTAACGACATTTCTCTTTATATTTTTCCACAATGTACGGGGATTTTTAGAATGTCTATTTATATACTATTAAATAATATTAAAAAACTTAAAAAATCAAAGAAAAATTTCATTAAGATTTTCTAATCATACACCTACTTTTTACTTTTAGAAAATAGACTTAAGTTAGTCAATCTGTGTGTCTAAGCGGTACCAACAGCGATCCTAATGCAGTTCAGCTTAACACCAAGCCACATTTGTTCGATCACAGATGCATGACTAGTCACTAAGTTACGCGCGTATATACCACGTCGCAAATAAAAACCAACACCTCCACCACGTGAGCGAATGCCCGGCGGTCGTGGGATATGTCGCAGCCGGTAACCAGGCGGGATGGGTGCCCGTCTCTCTTCACATGGTTTTAACCAAGTCTCATTGATAGCCATAATATCTACCTTATGATGCTCCATAGCTATAAGAAATTCATCATGACGAGAACCTAATGATCCGGGATTTAATAGACCTAGTTTCAAAGTTTTATTTTCTACATGTTCAATAACAAAGCTGTTCGATAATTCCACATATATACAATTGCCTAAATACAGTTTTAGAACAGTTACATGCCGTAGGTCTAAAGAATAAAATAATAATATTCCAATTTGATAATTGAGAATAATCTTCGTAGCAACACTATGTTTCAAAGAAGCAATTAAGCGTAGTTTAGTTAGCGTAAAATGGAGACATGTAGACATCATTTTACGTTTCCATTCTATTTCAAAGACCAAACAAACAAATTTATTAGATATTGAAACTGAAACAAATTTGCATAAACTGGACAACATAAGATTAAAACTGTAATTACAATTAATAACAAAATAAATACTATTTAAATTAACAGAAACGAATATGAATTTATTTTTCGAATCACATATAATTATCATTAAAAGCGTATAAAAAAATATATTAAAACAACAACATATTATAAAACAAAATATAAATTTCAGCAGCAAAAAGCAACAGTTTATCACCATCAAAAGCAAAGCGACTACAAAACGAAAAATAAAGCAGATTTTAACTATCACAGAAGAACTAATTCGCTGAACCAAAAATAAAATTTGGATCAGGTTTACAACTAAATTAAAATTAATATGAGAATAATTCCTAGATAAAATAATATCAGCAAATACAAATTCAATTAAGTTGCAAATAATTATCATGAAAAGCATGTCAGAAATTAAATAATAAAAAAAAAAGTATTATGAAGCAAATTATGAATTTCATAGAACAAAGTGTAAGTTTCCACAGCAGACAGCAATTAATTATCATGAAAAGCAAAACTATAAAACCAGACTCAAAGTAAAAGTTAAGTATTATCAATGCGTTTGGTCGCCGTACCAAAAATTCGATCAAGATCAGCCTCCGTCCGAAGGTGGCGGCGTGGAGCGTCGCTGCCTGGACGTTGACGAGCAAAAACACGCCCATCTTTGGTCCATATGTAACGCCAACCCAGGCTTCGCCCCATATCTCGAGCTTTTTTAAACAGCTGCCTATTATGCTTCGTCAATCTTTCATTTATGAAGAAGCGACAAGGCTTGCCAGAGAAGCCCATATCCTCCGTAGTAGCCCCACGACGTACTTTAGCAGCCTCATGCAGTTTGTCCCGCGTGGCACGCCTCTCTAAACGTACCACAATAGGTCGCGGACGGGGTATGGCATAAGACTGTGTGGCATCAATAGTACGCCCCATACGCGCAGCACTTACTATATCTTGCTCAGACAAATCAACACCCAGCTTTGTCGCTACCACGCTCACAATATGCAGTAAACTCTCCTCTTTCTGCTCGGGTATACAGGTCAATTCAATGTCTGTGAGCAGTAATTCCTGATTGCGATCATTGAGTTCAGTTTTTAATTGATCGATTTCGGAAGAAAGGGATGAGACATCATCCCGGGCGGGTGGGGGACTGACTTATAGCTGATCAATACGTTCATTAAGTTTTTTTATACCGTTTTCACAGTTGTCGATTCGATTTGCAAGCATGACCACACTATCATTAAGTCGCTTGGCCTCCAAACGGTGAGCTCTGATTTCTTCACGGATTTCTTCTCTAAATGCACGCATTTCCATGACATATGACTGAAAATCTGTCATTTCAATTGTTACGTTGTGAGCCGTGTCATTAAGAGTGTCCGTGAGAGAAGGTGGTTGTTCCACAGCCAGCACATCCAGCTGCAGTGGAGAAATAGCAACAGCAGCCCCTTTGCGCATCGTGACTTCGGTAGAGGCCACACGAATAGGTGTTTTGCTAGAGTCGCCATCTAGTGGAGGTACTTTTTTCGTGCTTTCGTTTTTTTCTTAAATACTTCCTCATTCTTTACTTATTTCTATTTTAAAAACTTATCATTTTGAATGCCTTATAGTTTACTTATTTTTTTATTAAGCCTTTCTGGTAGGAAATTATATAAATAATAAGGTGGGAATTTGTGTCGTAAGTCGCATGAAGATGGAGGGAGTAGTACTAATACAATTTGAAGTGTCGACAAATTCTAAGGAGCAATTGAAAAAATGCGTGATGACAATTGAGGTCCATAATATCTCTATATTGAAAACTATGCAAAACGTCTATTATGTTTATCACTGTGCAATGCCTCAAGTGAGAGAATATACTCTATAATATAAGAATATTAACTAAAATATAGTTGGCAGTAGTGGTATAGTTGATAAGCGCCGTACCTCGCGAACGTTGTGTAGCAACTTATGCAAGGTTTATTCAGGGTATGGGTAACCAATTTTTTTTTATCTCGTGCTACTCGGAGCTTCGGAACGCACGTTAAGCCGTTGGTCCCGGCTGCATTTGCAGTCGTTAATACTCTCCAATCCGCATTAAATCAACGTGGAGGGTTCAATAAACTACCCTCTTTAACGATCCTTAAGGAAGGCCTGAGCTCCTCTAGTGGGGACGTAAAAGGGCTGATAATGATAAACTTAAATAAAACAAAAACGAGGAACAGGTTCCTGGACAAACAAATGTATCCTCATTACTTTTAAAAATAGAAGGCATTAAGAATCTCTCTCTTTCTAAAACCAACCCAAGAAATGGTTTAAAAATATCCCTAAAAACAATAAACAATGAAAATGAAGTAAATATTGATATATAAATTGAATAATTGTAATTAATAAAGATAAGATAAGATAAAAACACTTTATTGTACAACACACAACAGAAATAAATAAAGAGTAACTTACAAACATTAAAACTTTTGCACAATAGGCGGCCTTATCGCTTAACAGCAATTTCTTCCAGGCAACCTGTACTGGAAGAAGCAATGATGACAATAATGTAGGTAGGCTGTGCGCGTAATATTATAGTATATTTTTTATTCTTGTCTATACATTTTGACACATAAGAGTAGAAAACGGAATAAATGGAAACTAAAATTATTTTTACTACTAACCCTAAAGACTCCATACAACTGCGTCACTGTCAACATGACGTTCAATGGATTTCTATGAAAATTGTTGCCCTATTAAACTATAGGCTTACAAGATTCGGCGAACACCGCATATCTGTTGATATTCTTTTTGATAGCGGCAATGGAAGCTTCAGTGAAATCGGCGGTGGAAAGATTACCCCATCTTCACAATACCATAAATTATGGAAAGAAAGTTTACCCGTTCTTAGAACAATAAAATTTATGAATGGCGATAAACAAGGAGTGGTGCCCTCTCTCACCAGTTGGATAAAAATAATTGAAAATATTCAGCAAATTGGTAACTCTTTAAAAAATAAAGGCGTGACCTCCACTTTTTTGCGCAATTTAAACCAAGATTCCTTAAAACTGTATTAATAAAAATATTTTATCTTCACATTCCGTTGGTTCTAATTGCGAAAAAGACGACAGTATTTGCCTCCAATCGTTAAAACAAACCAGGAGTCAATATAATCATGGAATTTGAAGATGATATAGAAAATACACATTTATGTTTAGATCTGATAGACACCGACGCACTTATATCCAGCAAGGATCCAATAAAAATAGAAAAATGTGCAGCAATAGAGTAATAGGGTACTGTTGTGCGTGGATAGCAAACACAGCAAAGAGAATTTATAAAAATTGCATCAAATGTAAAATTTGGAGGTACATACTAAACAAACATTTTATAAACATATTAAAAAAAAAGGATTCACCAATAAAAAGTGGTGTACTATCCATCCAAAGCACTATTTAACTTTTTTGCGCAAAGCGAAAATATATGCACACAAATTTTAAACAGCAATAATTGTGCTAGGAAAAAAATTTTAAGTTACATCAAATCAATAATTATTATCAATTTAAATAAAACTTTTTAAATTGTAATGTTCACAAAAATAAATAGCTGAACATTTAATAAATAAATGTAGTGCAATTTTTATCAATAACTGGTGCAGAGAGATCAAAAATTTATTATCTGGCAAAACCTTGGTAATACATAATGCCGCAAAAAGCGTTAAAACATTTTTCAAGGAACAAGGGTAGAAAAAGAAAACGCGGAATCATTGCTGAATATGTAAAGAATTATAAAATAAATAGTTTTGTAAGGATAATGGGGAAGTATTAAAAAAAACGAAAGCACTAAAAACCACCTCCACTAGATGGCGACTCTAGCAAAAGTTAATTTTTGCAGGAACGAATGGACCAAGGACAGTCATTTCCGTTCCTATTAAGTAACGTATTAAAAAACTGAAATTTGATAAGTTCGAAACTTAGATATCAATACAAATACAAAAAAGTACAAATAGAATATGAGTTGTTTATTGAGCTTTAAAAACTAATTTACTTTTAAACATGAAAGAAAACCGGAAAAGTTGTCATGGAGAAATCTAAAAGTACTGTTGCGACAACTAGTTAGTTTTCGGGAACTAATATTTTTTTAAAATACTTTCTCATTGTGATTTCATTATGTAGACCAGAGGTTCTCAAACAATTTTTTTTCTCGTAGACTATTTTATGAAATTTACTGGTTTCGGTGGAACCCCTGCTGCTACATTTTCACACCATATTCCCAAAATTTGTCCAAAATGTGAAGATTTAACGATGGAAATTGGCGTCGCGGGTGAGTTTCAACCCCAAATTCGGAGTAAAATTTTTTCCGAGTAAAAGTAAAATTTTCGCTGCAAATACACCGGTTATCCGCCTTTCCGCTCAGCTATCGTCCATTAGTGAACTGGTTATCGGCTGTCTCATTCTCTGTTTAGAAATGATCTTTATGCATTTCAATATGCGTCGGGCAGCCGTTTTCAAAATAAATAATGACATCGTTATTAGCTTGACTCATTTCTGATAAATGTATGTCACTTAATGGTGCTATTGTGAAGTCATCTCTCTATCTCTCTATTATGCACTGTAGTCTTTGACCGCTGGGGTTTTAGAGGGTAAGCTTAAAGCTTCAGTCCTCAGGCTTAAAGCTACACCCCCATCTCACTTAGACTATCTCTTTCTCTATCCCAAGGTTGCCTGGAAGAAATCGCTTCAAGCGATAAGGCCACCAATTGTTATGCATATTAATTAAGTTTCACTTGTTTGTTTCTGTAAATTAGTATATTGTTAACAATAAAGAGTTATCTATCTATCTATCCTACTATTAAAATAAAAAGATGACTTTCTTCTTAAAACACTTTTCATTACCTTCTTAGAAAAACGGCAAATTATTATGTTAATATAAATCATACTTTCATAGTATTTTTTAATGAAGGAAATGCCTAAAATATAATTAATCCTGAGATATTATTTTTTATCTTTTAGAGACGTTAAGACAAATAACATGTATTGCAATAGTCTATTAATGTTATCTGAAACTTTGTTCAGTACGTACGGTAAGTAGGTAAACGTTTTTATTGCCGAACAAAATGCATTTATATATGCTTATATTAAATGTCGTAAAATATTACATTCAATCTCAAACTGTTCTGCTGGCGTCCTACTTTTTTAATAATTGTTACATATATAGAAATAAATATGCAAAAGGAGCTTTTTTGCATTTTTGTGACTTTCGTTGGAATGACAATATCAATGAGTAAGTTGGCTTTAAGTAATCTATGCGTAATCTTTTATTGCTTCAACGAGCAACTTAGCGAGCAGCCATTCAATATATCACATGTCTTTACAGTAAAAAAAAGGATTTATTATTATTTCTTCGAATATTTTGTTGGCCAATACAAAAGCCTTTTCTATTTCCGATTATTAAGTATATTTTCATTTCGTTTATAAAACCTAAGTGCCTACAGTATTCTGTATACGACAGACCTAGGGTTCCAGGATCACACAAATGTCCTAGGAATACTGTACATACCAACAGTATTCTAGTCACTTTAGACATTTTAGTCGACGAAAACTTCTGCTTTTCTTTCTAGGTAATCGTTGTTTACAACCTCTTGACGGTGGCGGTTGCTTGAGCTACGAATCTAAGTAGGTATACCGGAGTATTTCTTTTATGATTTTTTTGACAACGCTGGTGGCTTACCGAGGCGGAGTTACTAATGATATGTCAGATATACGTATTCATATCAGCGGATATCCGAGGGAGAAGGAAGGTCCGTATTCGTATCCATGAATTTATGGCCCATCTTATTTTATTAGTTTTCAATGCATTGATGAAATTCTGTATAGGTTTATTCACGAACAATTCTTAGGCACGTTTTAGTGATAACGTGCCTAAGAATTGTGTGCCTATAAAAAGTATCTTTAAATTCCAAATTATAGTGTTTTAATATTTACATCACCTTTTTACAGGACGCGATCAACTCTAGTTTAAATATATTGATATCTTGGTTTTCTCTTTCCATTTTCCTTCTCTAGTTTGTGAAATCAATAATTTCATTTACAGGTACGGGTATAATACAAAGACATCAAGATGTGAACCGTTCATTTACGGAGGTTGTTATGGTAACGAGAATAGGTTCGAGACTATAAATGCCTGCCGAGCAGAGTGTGAGGACGATTACTAAAAAATAATAAGAAAAGGTTTTATGGCCAAGCAATCAATGCCAATGTTATTTAACGTTTCGATTTTATTTCAGAAGTGTTATAATGGTGACAATTATAAATAAAAAAATGACACTATTTCCTAGTCACATGTAATCAAAAAATATAATTATTCTCCTTTAAACTACAATATAAAAAGACTACACCTGTCGGTAATCTTACTAACTTAGTTTAGTTTTGTAGAAATATAAGAGTCATATTACAAAACAATCGAGTTTTTTTTTGAGAAAAATGGTAAATTCTGGTGTTCTCGATCTCGGAAACAAAAATTATATTAATAATTTTGACTTATTGATCCTCCTCCATGAAGACTAATTTTATATTATGTGTTTTTTTTTGCTTCATTAAAGCATATCTATTATATTATTATAACGTATAATGTGTCTAAAGAGATTTGTAAAGCTCGTTTCTTTTCATCTGGGCAAGTACCCAGACTTGCTCCAATGTTCGAGCTCATTCCAATTTCTGCTGACTTTGAACGTCTTTACACCTGCGCGTACACGAATTTCATCTCTCGTTATAAGTAAATCTTGTGCCTTGCGCACACCTCCGAACGCAGGCCCTGTTGTTTTCTTGTTGTACCTAATTCAGTAGGACCTGACTCATCACTCATACTTTGAGTCGGTGGATACCCTACAGTGCCAACTAAGCCGGCTGAGCAACATCGAAGACCCGATCCCACTGCACTGGGCCTAGTCCCAAGGGTGAAGGTTTCCGCTACTTCCATTAGGGATAGCCGTATTTTTTCGCGTCCCTCACTTCGGTAGGGGGTGGTTTTATTTCGCGCTTGCTTCTCCGTCTAGCCTACTGAGTTTGGGTTGATGGAGAAGGTCGTGAGTGAAAATTTATCCAGCAGTTATCAAGCCTCTGTTCATCTAACAAAGTGAGTTATACCCATGTTAAAAACATGTTAAAAACATGGGTATAGCTATCAGGGTGGAATCACCCACCAGTGGGGACTTCAGAACCCTCACTAGACTTATCACAAAGTGGGTTACCACAGTTACGCCTTACCTGAGGAACGTAAAGATCATGCGGTACTTCGCAACGTACCGTACGAACACCCCATCGAACAGATCCAAAATAGTCTATGCGAACAAGGCTTCCTATGGAGTCTGTTCACAAAATGCACAACAAAGCCGGGAGATACTTCTTCTTGGCTCTGTTGATCCTTCAAAACGTCCTTATAGCATGTGACATTTTCCCCACACCGACGCGGCATCCCTGGGCAATGCCACCGTTGCCAACTTTACGGTCACGTGCAGTGTGGCCAAGTTTGCCTATGGCCCCCCCTCCCCCCGCCTAAGATGCAAACTTCCCCAATTCCCAGATGCAGTGCGCGGGGCATTTAGGCGATAGTTACTCCATATTTTTGTGGAACCTTTTTTATGAAGAAAAGCAAACACCGTATGGGTCTATTCCAGTGATAACAACCCCGTTTGCCAGATCTTGTCGATAGAGTAAGATATTTATCGACATCATATTCTCCGGAAGCTTTGATGGTATTGTAAGAATATCTTTTGCCTGGTTCCAGATTACATCAGGCGTAAATGATGGAGTGTCTTAATCTAAAGCAATCCATTTAACCCAATCCTGCTCCAGTGTGACAACAAACCTAGATTCATCAGTAGGCTGGATTCTTCTTGTGGTTGGTAATTTTACGAGCTACTTTTAGTTTAGAGTTGCACCTTCCTTATCAGTAGCTGGTGATCTTATCCGAAATCTGCATCAGGTATAGTATGCGCATTTCTGACAGATCTGGAGTCGATCATTATATAATTGATTTGGTTTCGATAGTTACCATCCGGTGATATCCATGTGTAAATTCTTCTAGGATGGTTTCGGAAGAGACTGTTGCAAATCACCAGATTATGTTCGTCAGCAAATTGTATTAGACGCTCGCCTCTCTAATTGCGCTGACCCAGATTAAATTTTCCTGCACAGTGGCTAAGGTCAACATCTGCTCTAATCTTTGCACTGAGGTCATCCATGATAATAAGGGTCTTTCGTTTAGGAATCTTGGTCATTGTGATTTCAAGTTTTTTTTTTTAATTTTTATTTTTATCGAATTTGGTACTGTTTCAATTCCTATTTAATTAAATTCTCGTATTTTATTGTAATTTGACGTAATGTGAAATATCTCTAGACCCTGTTGAGTAGTTATTATAAATAACACATTTATTGATGATTTTGACATCTTATTATTTTTAATATTAGATGGGACGTGATAAAGATTTTGGGGATTTTTAGACAAATTCAAATTCCATATCGTTTATTCAGTTTAGACTTCAGTTTAGTTAAGTGCTTGTATACTTGGGATGGTCGAGATGGACAATAGGGATGATGACTGGGTAAAAAAAATGCAATTCTACTTAGTCCGTCAGTCAGATAATAGAAAAATATTAGATAAGTATTTTTTTTACTTCAATTTAACAAGAAATAGTTTAGATAACAGGCATTAAAGTTGAGGAGTGGGGGCCCGCTACGTCACAGTTGAGTAGAAAACGTACCCTAACGTGACGTCATGCGAAATTTCAACTTAATGTAACGCCGTAATTTTATGATTACGAAAAAAATAAAAAAAATACGTGTTTAATATTTTTTTAACACTACCTGACGGACAAACAAACAAAAATTAGTCATCATCCTTATTTATGTAATACTTCTATTTGTATTGTTACATTGTTATACCATTGTTATATTCTTATATTAAATGTATTAAGTATTGTTTATATTAGTTATTTAAGTAGATGCAGGCGTAATAGACCAATTTAGTTAAAGATTAAACTTCATTATTAACTTTAAAATATTCATGTTGTAGTTAGGTAATTGTTGAATAATGATTATAACGCTGTCTAGGTACTCGTATGCTTAACAATTAACATTTAGAAATGTTTTTCTTTTTGTATGTATATTAGTCGATAGATTTTGTTTAGTTCTTCGTTATTTGAAAGATAATATTATCGAAGGGGGCGCATAAAAATGAAATTAGTAGTCTTAGTAAATGTGAAAAATCTTAAGTTCACATCGCGTTTGTCCGAAAATTACAATTTCTTTTTTTATTGCAAACAATATTTGGATTCTTTTCAGTTTTAGTGTCTGAAAAAAAATTTAATTCTCAATGTCAATGAATATTTTTAAGTCACAATTTAGTTTAGCCTGTTTTTTTTCGTAAATATTGAACTAGACATTTTAAAATGTAACGGATTTTAAACCATGACTGGAACAATTATACCTATACATGGGTCTCGGATAAGAAACAGGTAAGGCAACACTATAAAATGGCTTATATCTCTTAGTCAGTACCTTTTATATATATCGGATGCTAACACCTTCATTTAATCAATCGTAATCACTATAAGTACATGAATTGTTTTATAAGATGAAAAAATTGTTGATATATCTATTGGCTTTCATAGCTGTTGCTAGTTCTTTGGGTGAGTTTAATTATCTTGTATACCTATCCTTATTTTTTGTGGGTTTTTCAGAATTGACATACCACAAAATATCAAAAACTTGGTCTTAACATACTTTGTGGTATTTTATCAGTTCAGTTTACTTCTAATACCTTCGTTTTTGCTTTTCAGAAAAACGGTGTTCCGAACCTATCAAAAGGGGTTTATGTTTAGCCTATTTTCCACAGTAAGTACTTATATCTGATCATTTATAGAAAGGAGAAAATCAAGTTTTCACATTCACATGTAACGAAAATCTATTTTTATTTGCAGATATGGTTATAACGTAGAGAAGAAACAATGTCAATTTTTTGTATATGGCGGCTGTGGTGGAAATTCGAACAGGTTTGATTCACTACAAGATTGTGAAGCGGCTTGCAAACAGTAGTCATTGTAATGACAAGCTAAATCCAGCTGGTTTTTTTCTCGAATATGATTAATTTGAATATACAAATAAACAATACCTAATCTTATATGTTCTTTTTATGTTATTTATGGGGTTAATTACACGGCTGCCCAAAATAAACATTTTTGAATGTGAATATAGCTGAGGTGTGAATGTTCTTTTTATGTTATACACGGCTGCCCCAAAAAAGGAGTATACATATTGTGTTTAAGGTTAATATAGGAAGAAAATAAGTTTCTTTTTTCTACTTAAACTTTCACCAAAGGATATCCTCATTATACTGAGTGATGCTGCCTAAAATATATATATATTTTTAATATTTAATATCGCAGATGTGTGACGCCATTTAAAAAATATGAACATTTTTTTTCTTTAATTATAGTGATATGGGTATCGATCGAATATTGGTTAGCTAAGCTAAAATATAACTTGTTTTTTTTTATTTTTAGGTCGATTTTTGCAGTCATCCTTTTTAATTTGGAAATGATTTCCTCGCCCTCGTGTTCCATAGGGAACTGTTTATTTGGGTATCGATTTTTATATAAGTACAATGACAAATTGAATAGTAAACATGGTTACGAAAGTAACGTTTTAATAACCTGTATATTATTGGCCCATGCCTATACTTACTTCGACTCCCATTTTTATCTCTTTATTTGCTATTTCAGGATAAAAGATATACTATGTTTACCGCATATGATGTAGCTTCCCGGAAATGAAAGAATTTTGAATATCGATCCACTTTTCGTGGGAAAATCGGTGACCTACATTAAAAATATATCGCAGTCGATCGTATAACCTCCTTCTTTTCGATTTTGGAGTTGGTTCAAAAATAGAACCGACATCAAACTTTAAAAAGTGAGAAATAATACTTATCTTAAAAGTGGTTTAATTAGGGTAAGGTGGGGCTCAGCGTTACACGGGGCTTGTTACAATGCAAATTCATCCCTGTCATTATTTTTTTAAATGTTTGTATACAGTTTTGACAAGCTCTTAAATGGCCATCTCGGGTCAGTTTTCATTACCTCAATTTATGCCGCATATTGATGTTATTTATCTAAAAAATAATTTAGGTGAGAAAACGTAGAAAAAAATAACATTGAAGTATTTATTTACTGGTTTTTTAACTGCATATTATCGTTTAATTGTTTATTTTAAACTCAATCTCTATTACTCTTTTAATTTTTTTGGTTAGGGTTACCCTTCTGGGGCATTGTGTTACGGGGCACTGTGTTACACAATCGGCCCCAACCAAATTTCAGTTTGTTTTGTGCATGTTTAAAAAAAAAGGTAAATAATCTTAATTGAAACAGGGATCACAGTCTTCATACAGAAAGAAATATGGGAGAAGTGGCTCTGGTGGTCTAAAGTGGGATAAGTCATCAAAAGGCACCTAATAAAAAGAATATTAATTTCATGGCGTTGCAAAGATATGTATAGGAATAGCCCCAAACTCGCATCTTGCGTTTTGTATTTAATACCGAAAATAAAAGATAAAGTCCTGCAACGGAGTACCCCAGATACGGGACACAGTGTTACAATCGACTTAATTAATTATTATGCAATTTTAATTATCATCATCACTTCAGCCGAGAGACGCCCACTGCTGGACATAGGCCTCCCCCAAAGATTTCCAAAGCGATCGGTCCTGCGCCTCCCGCATCCAGCGGCTTCCCGCGACCTTTACCAGATCGTCGGTCCACCTTGTGGGGGGCCTACCAACACTGCGTCTCCCGGTACGCGGTCGCCACTCCAGGACCTTACCGCCCCAACGGCCATCAGTCCTGCGAGCGATGTGCCCTGCCCACTGCCACTTGAGGTTCGCAATTTTTAATCTTTGAAGGGTTTTGGGCCATCTCCCACCACGCTGGCCCAATGCGGGTTGGTGGGGAGCGCCAGAGCCTCGTTGGTTAGTCGGCAGGGTGTACCGCGTGCAGGTGAGGTTGGCTTGGATCCGTTATATGTTGTTCGGATCCCCTTACACCGAATTTTAATTAGCTTGTTGCTAATTATAGTCATGTTATAATAATTCTAAGTAAAGAGAGATAGTTATAGTTTATATCCAAGTTAGTTAAAACTTGATTAAAGTAATATTTTCGCCGCCATAACGTTGTTTGATTTTTTTGTAACACTGTGTCCCACTTTACCCTATTCAAGAAACTGCTATTGGAGTCGGGCGGTTACAATTTTAATAATCTACAGAAAACCTCAATTACTTTTTATTAAAACTGATAAATTGTCTTAATATACATTAATATTTAGTATTAGATGGATCTCATCTCTTTATTTACCAAACTGTTTCAGTAAAATTGATTTGATTTTCTGCCATGTGCTAGAGTCGTTATGCTTTGATAAAGTTTTGATCGGTAATTTATTTCTAATAAGATACGCTATGCTACGTTCATCGATCCTATTGACTATTTGTTTCACATTTGTTACAAATATTATTAAGAATTATTTAGTATTACTGTTAGCGTAATATATAGGATAATCTAAGTATAGCAATAAACGCAAAAGGCAAATTTTGGTAGCCAACTATTATGGTATTGTTTACTTCAGTTACATTTTCTGGAACACTTTATTATTGCTATTTTTTAATTATATTTCATTTACATATGTTTGCGTTATATTATATTAATAATTTTGACTTCCTATTATGTTAGATTCTGAGATCATGAACGCCAAAATAGGGATGATTAGGGATTTTTTTTGAAATCCGGTTTTCGAATTATTCGTCCCGTTAAAATCCGGATAACCCGAATTTTTCGTGAATAAAGTGTTTTGATGAATCCGAAATGAAATATCATCATCTTTCGACGCCCACTGCTGTTCATAGGCCTCCCACATGGGTATTCACGACATCGATCCTGCGCTGCTCGCATCCACCGCCTTCCCGCGACCTTCATTAGATTGTCAGTCCACCTAGTTGGAGGCCTGCCCATTGAGCGTCGTCCGGTACGACGTCGCCATTTGAGAAATTTTCCTCTCCAACGGCCATCAGTTTTTATCGCTATGTGTCCCGCATGTCGGCTACATTAATTCTCATACGGATATCCTCGTTTCTTATTCGATCACGTAGGGAAACACTAAGCATTGCTCTCTTCATTGCCCGCTGGGTGACCTTAAACCTTCTGATGTAAATGGCAACACGGACACGGAGGTTATCAGACGCCAAGATTTTTCGTTGGTTCCAAATGCTGCCTTTGGATTCGACGACAGATTTCTTTCTCAAAGTTGGACCTACCTAGCTGGACTGTCTATCTAATTTGGCAGTCTTGTTTTCTAATCTTTAAATGATTTTTTAAATTAAATCTACTGGAATCTGCCCTGTATTAATTATAAAACAATTACAAATAGGCATATTAAAAAGCTAAGGTTTCATACACGGTTTCTATATAACAGCACTAGTCGACTATGGATGGACGTATGAGGTTCTGGATGCTGTACTAAAAGTGCTTTCTCAGTTTAAAAGTGAATAAACAAATTATGTATAGTACCTATATTCAGGCCTTACAGAAATAATTCAATTAACGAACTTAATATTTAATGTGGAAATAATAAAATATGATTAACAAAATATAAAGCTGTAAGTCATTATGATATGACTGATGGGTTACAATTTTACCCCATTATATCAAAGGATTTTTATAATAATGTAATGTTTGCTATTCAGTTTTCACAGGCGCTACGGCACTCTTCCAATGTTTTGAAGTTGTTGTCGTTGCCGCCGCATCCACCGTATGCTAAATCTGTACATGATCCAGTATTACTGTCGAATGCGTAACTGAAAACGTTAAAAACACTAATAAGAGCTTTTATAGCTAAAATGAGAAGCGAATGAAAATTATCACTCGTGTAAATTGAACACCTGCTACTACGTATTCGATAATCGAAACAATTTGAATTTATCATATATAATAATTAGAACAAATTTTCATCATTATCGAAAATTTAAATATTTGTAAAAATATTTCTTTTGGCTGATTGGGTGGACTGCCTGGACATTTGTTGAGTTCCCGATATTCAATAATTTTACTAAATGGCGCCTACGTATTCTTGGTAATAATTTGTTTATTTCAAAGTTGAAGGAACGAATTATTACATGTTGAAATGTTTCGAATAAACAGATTATGTTTGCTCTTATTATTTGAACCTTAAAAATGCAGTAGCTTAAAAATGGCCTTTGTTCTTTAAACATGAATGTCCGCAGTATTCAAAAGTACTTACAAAGTTTTTAGACCAGCAGTACCCAAGGAGTTTCTTATGTCATTGGCAAAATTTTACTCTTTAGTCTGTGTATTTATTTTGTTGTAATTTTTAATGGGTGTCGTTGCAGTGTTTTGCATTGGGGCCACGTTTCATTGAACCGGCGCTGATCAGCAGTTGCCATGAATACGGGGCATTAATTTAGAATATTGAAATAAGTTGACTTACACAGGAACGTTGCCGTAGCAAAGGCCAGCATCTATCTGATGATTGCATCTGTCCTCTGAAAATAATATTATGAATTTATATTTTTCGCTTAACTGAATACTAATTTCTTTAAAGTAAATATTTTGAAATTTAACACTCCAAGTGTTCCAAGTGTAATTCGGGGACCACTCTGTTTCTCTGAAAACTAAATTTAAGTGTACTCATAAATCAGGGTAATACGACTATATAGAAATATATTTTTGATGATTATTATTACGCATTGATAATCTGCAAGGAGATGAAAAATTACAAGAAAATTTCGAAATTATTGGAAAATTACTTTCAGACAAACAGAGTATATGTTTTTCTATACTTTTTCTTCGGAATTTTAATAATAACACACACACACACACGAACACAAATATAACTTTAATAATATACATGGAGTGTAGCTTTTGAATAAGTATATACAACCTTTTATTTATAAAAAGGAATTTGTAAAAAAGGAATAGGATATATCAATGTAGCATTGTGGACGCAACATTGATCATAATTATCTAATAAACCTTCAGAAAATATTTTTTTTACACTGTTATGCATGGTAATTTATATATTTCTCCCCCCTTTTACGGTTCCAAATTTTTTTTTGCCGGCTTGCTGCCCCTTAGATATATAAATGACACAATCACAAAATCCCATTTTCGACGCCAAAAAGTTCTTACCTTTAGCTTGGCTTAGTTCAAAAAACAAAACAATTAAAACTAAATGATACAACTTGAACATTTTATATGAGTTTCTTGGCTAAGATTCTGATTTAACTAACCGTGTGAGTGGTATGTGTGGTGTTTATAAATAATAATTCGTGGTATCTATACTCTTGGTAACCTTGACAGCAGTGACATGATAATTTGTAAATATTTGGATTTTAATCTGTTGTATTTATTCATCGTAAACAATGTAATGTTAAGTGATTGTAAACAATGTAATGCGCTAAACATCCTTGTTTTACTATATTTTTTAATTAGGAATTATTAATGTAGGACTAATTGTTATTAACCATTCTTTAAATGACTCAAAAATGGATGATATGTCATTTCGAAACTCACTTTACTTATGCCACGTTATCATCAATTCAAGGTTGAGCAGATGTCGTTTTTGAAGTGATTTCAGACGCCTGAGTGAATTCGAATTCGTGTTCGGATTTTTACAGAATCGCAGGGCTGCAGAGCGAAAGCCTTACTATTTAGCTTTGATTCTAGTACGATAATAAGACAATATTTTGCTAGTCTTTTGCTGGATTTCTCTCTATAGTCGGCCCCTCATGACTGAAGATCGTGGTCCTCGTGTATAATCCACATTTGGATTGGACTATTCGTCTCCATCGACTTCTGTCCATTGCATTTCTAACGATCGCGTAGAACTTGGTGGTAGATGAGTCTGATCTGTCCAGTGGCGTAGCGTGGGTAAGCAGTAATTTGCTGCTGCTCTTAATAAGGAATTTGATATAATTATACTATACATAATATACAGTCTGATCTCTCCAGTGGCGTAGCGTGGGTGTCTGCCGCCCGGGGCGGAAGACAATTTTGCTGCTCCTCTTAATTAGGTATTTTATATAATTATACTATACATAATATACATTAATTTTAAACAATTTTCGGCAAAAACTGTCATTATTATTTTACGTTACACAGGTTACATTTTGACTGCACGGTTTGTCGAGTGGTTTAGTTGTCGCCATGCAACTGCTCACGGATTGAGTGTTATGGTTGGATCCCCACAAAGGATAATTATTCGTGTGATTTACAAATAATTGTATTTAGTCTGGGTGTATTTTGTCCCTCGCAATACAGGACTGGTTACCTCAAAAGCGGGCACGTTAAAAAAAAACGATTTGAAAATCAAAAATATGAACTAAACAACTGAAGATCCATGAATAAAACTTTCTTTGAATTGTCAATAAACAATATTGAACTTAATATATACATATATATATTAAGTTTAATATTGGTGTAATAGAAGTCATTCTTGCTGATTATAAGTCATAAAAAATCCAAGGGCGCGTGCCGCTCCCCCCACTACGCTACGCCACTGGATTTGTCCCACGGAGCTAATTTGTCCATTGGATTAGTGATCGACCTCTTGAACGTTCGCCTTCGGTGTTGCCAACCACGACAAGCGAGGCTCTCATAGCCTTTTTTGCTGGAAAAATTCAGGATAAATGACTTAAATTAGTAACACTGCTATCAAATCCATAAACATTATCATTTATCGTTCGTTCCTCCTTACTAAAGTAGGTTACATGTCAAACTAGTAACATGAAATGAAATATCGCTAAGATGTCGTATTCTATAGCTAGAATCAAGTTAAGCAGTCCCTCTACAGAACGTAAATTTTTGAAGATAAACAGAACCCGTAAATTATTTCATCTTAGTAAAAAAGTCGTGTGGTACGGCGGCAGAGGATGCTCTGTGGCAGTACCACAACCATGTTTTATTTATACTGCAAACTACAAAGTACAATATTTATTATTTATTATACATTTTATTGATATAGGAATTATGCCTGCTGAGTGTGGTGGTACTGTTAGAGTGTCTCACTCTATAAATATGCATATTTGACTTTACTGTTTTATTAGAACTGTTTGTGGATATGTTATAAATCATATAAAAACGTTATATACGGAATAAGAACTACAATAATAGTTTGTAGTACATAAAAATTCAATATATCACGTGGTCATTCACTGGGTATTATAAGAAGACTCAAGGTCACCCAGCGGTCAATGGAGAGAGCAATGCTTGATATTTCTCTACGAGCTCGTTTTAGGGATAAAGAAATCCGTCAGAGAATCAACGTTGCTAACATTGCTCGGAAATTGCTCAGCTAAAGTGGTAGTGGGCGGGACACTTAGCTAGAACATCTCACCAGGTGGATCGACGATTTTATAAAAGTTGCGGGAAGCTGCTGCCGGCGTCTAAGCAGCGCAGGATTGATCGTCGTTAAGATCAATAGGGGATGCCTATGCTCAGCAGTGGACGTCATACGACTCTTGATGAAATCATGAACGAAAATAAGCGGAAGATAAGCGGTAGGTATACATAGCGCGCGATTGCTTTGTAATATTTGAGTTGTCAAGTGGATTAGTTAAAAACAGGATAGTTGTGGCTTATAATGGCTTACTAATAGCAAATACATAAATACAGTGAAACCTGGTTAATTGGGATCTCAAGTTACCAAGAATTTTGTAACATATATAGAGTTTTCATTAATCCAGTTTTGAAATTAGACAGGTTTGAAATGCAGTTGTCTCCTTTACAGCAGCACCCGCTAGAGGTCGAAATGTACCATTATTTCGGTTATGTATGTTAATAAAAATGCTTATTTTTGGTAATTAAGTGTACGAACAATACAGTAAAGTTTATGACTTAAAGTAATTGGTCATGTTTGTTTATATTTGATTGCTAGTTATTGAACCTGTTTCTCGATAGAATGAAAATTAAAGAAAGTTTAATTATTCAGATGCTGATTATATATTTACGTTTGGACATTTTGTAAACTTTATTTCCTTGTTTGTAGATAAAATTTGAGATAGTAAGCTGATAAACAAATCATTTGCGAAAGAAATGCAAATGTCGTAAACAATTGTGTCGAAAACTCTCTCAATTTGCTAAATTGTCTCACTTTTATAGGGAATTGTCCTACAGAGTCCCAATTATAGAGGTAAACATCGAAGAAATCCTATAAATCAAATTTCATTTAACCATGTTTGAAAATTCCTGTTAACAGAGGTAATTCATGAAAAAGGACCGGGATCTCATTGCAGTTCTCAATAATTGAGGTTTCACATTTATCTAGGTTTCACTGTAATAATAAATAAAATATAATAGAGCAAATGGGACAGAAATGCTATTCTGTCACAAATAACCATGTAATCGACATCGGGAGGAGTGCAAACACAGCATAGACGTTTAACCAAATGATATAAAAACCTGCTTCATAGGGTTTAAGATTCAATTTAATGTAACCACTAATGTCGAACTTAAGGTATTTTCAAAGAAACCTGCTAAAATTTAACAAGATCATGTATAAATCTGTGATGATATATATAAAATAAAACTATTTCCTTTTTTCACACACACACACAATTTATTAGTTCACACAATACGATTACATGCAAGAAACTTGTATATCCCAGACAAAAATCATTAAAATGTCAAATCGTCAGGTTTGATTGCTAACAAAACAAACCTGATTTCGTTACTTATAATTAAAAATGTAAAGTTTCTTGATTAAAAACTGTAAGTCTGTAAAGACTTACGGGGATTGGGATGGGGATGGGGAGGTGGATGTGGTGGTGGATGTCGATGTGGTTGGGGGTTTGTAACCACAGACGTCCATACACTCCGTCTCATTTGCGAAGTTGTTGCCGTTCCCCTCGCAGCCACCGTAGACGAACTGCTCGCATTTACTCTTGTTAGGGTTGAAGCCATATCTGTAACAATTACATTATAAATTACTCGTAAAATTTAATATATATAATCATAGTCTTAGAATATTTCGTAAATATTGGAAAGAATGGGTGCTTTGTCAGTAGTTTCTTGCGCTTGAAGTTATATTTGTTCTTCAAGCTGTCCCCGTTCATCGCCTTCATGGCGAGAGACATGACTGGGTTGTAGTGGGTATGCCCTTGCTATTTGACTAGCCCCCTTCGTGAGTCCGCAGAGGGGAGTCCCAAAATAACCCACTGACCCTGACGGGTTGACGTCAAAAAAAAGAAAAGGAAATTACATGTCTATGGCCTCCTTTAAGTTTAATCGATTAGTGATTTTAAATTAAGCTTATAATAAATAATTAAAAATAAATTGTATATTGTACCTGAACTTCAGGTTGCGGCATGGTCCCGTATCCAACTCGTAATAGCATCTATTTTCTAAAAGTTAAAAGAAAAATCAGTATGTATCACAGAATAAATATCACATTCCATATCTTAGTAGTTAAGCTAACATTTGTATTATATAGTAGATTAGTTTAATTCAAAGTAATCTGTTTTTCCTTTTATCTTGACACATTTGTGACCTCTCATATTACGTAAATGCCTAGCGCATGGCGCCGCATAACGCATGTGATAACTTTAGACATTGCTTATTGGTGTTAGGTGTATCCTAGTCATTGGTGAAATGCATTTTCTCCATAAGCGATTCTTAAGTTCTTAAGGCGAGTGCCAAAAGATGGATGATGTAATACACTTATTTATTAATGATAAACGCTTAAATTAATGTGTACTTAGCTGAAATAAGAATGAGAATCAAAAGTCATTCATATACATTTCTAGAAAGTATTTACATGAAATAACAACTTTTATTAATCAGATTTAATTAATGTAATTCTAGTGTAGGTATGTCTATTCTATACTGACATATACAAACCGATTTATAGCAATGTGATATTATATTTTTCTTCACGATATAAACACAACTAAATTGAACCTATTTCAATAAAAGTTTTCAAAAAATTAAATTCATAGGCAGTGCTTCAATTATCAGAACAAAAAAGGGACAGTTAATACTATATTGCCTAGGGCGGCCAAGCCTATAAATACTTCTCTTGGTGGTAAATTTTTGTTTGAATTCAAATTTATTAAATTTTGACAAAAATCATGTTTTTTTTGGTTCATATAGAATAGAACATACATAATGTTCTGTATTTGGTGTTATCAATAAAGTGTTATCTATTATCTAGATTGAGTAAAAATCAAATAATTATTTCGCATTCGCATTTGATCAAGTATGGCAACTCATTAGCTTACCACCAGCGGAATCGCCTCGTGGAATATATTTGCCATAAAAAAAATTAAAAACTATCCTATGTCCTTCACGAAGGTCTACTCTGTTTAACAATTTAATAAAAAATCGTTCGGTACTTTTGGTGTGAAAACGTAACAAACACACATAAACACACTCACACAGAGATGAGAGTTACATAAGCATTTGTAATATTAGTATGGATCGTGTAGTTATACATAACTGGTTTTATACGTGTTTTTAAACTATAATGCGTTGAAGATTGTAGCTCGTAGCTCGGTGGCGTAGTGTAATGCGAGTAGCTCGGTGGCGTAGTGGATAAGCGCCGCGGCCCACGATCGTTGTCGTTAAGCAACTTTCGCAAGGGTCGGTCACGGGATGGGTGACCAAAAAATTATTATCTCGAGCTACTCCGTGCTTCGGAAGGCACGTTAAGCCGTTGGTCCCGGCTGCATTTGCAGTCGTTAATACCTTCCAATCCGCATTGGGCCAGCGTGGAGGGTCATGGCCCATCCTCCTTAACCATCCAGCCCCTGCAGTGGGGACGTAAAAGGGCTGGTGATGGCGATGAAGATAGAGTTTAAAATTAACTGTAGAAAATATATTGCGGTAACTTAACTTGCTGCTGTGTGTACCACAATTAGGTATGATTTAAATGTTTATTTTTATCTAATAAAAAGTGGGTTACTTTAGTGTGAAGAGGTCAATCAAGTTGAAACATGATGTTAATGGATCAAGCCTTAAACTGAGTGAACTGAGTGAGTGAGGGTACCGGAGGCCCAACCCCTCCCTATTCCCTTCCCTCTACCCCTCAACCCTTCCCTCAAAGGCCGGCAGCACGCTTGTAGCCCCTCAGGTGTTGCAGGTGTCCATGGGCGACTGTATAATCACTTACCATCATGTGATCCGTCTGCTAGACTGCCCTCTATTACATAAAAAAAAAGGTAGGTATGTAGATATTATTTTACTCATAACGTCATATCATGGTTTGGAGGCTTAAGGAAAATATATAATACCAAGTATTAACTGTACCTATATAGTAATAATGTTAAATTATTTAAATGGTTGAAAAGATATATAAACTCAATAGACCCTACTTTATGTAAAGTTATTATGGCATTAAAAATCCGGTCAGTTGCGACTCGGAATCCAGCCAAAGGGTTCCGTAACATTATCTATAAAAAAACGTAATTAAATCACGTTTATTGTATGAGAGCCTCCTAAGACATTTATTTTAATAAGTTTATAGTATTTATTCCTATATAGGGGCAACAGAAATACATCATCTCTGAAAATAACAAGTTTTAAATTTAAAGCTGTCACCGTTCATGAGATACGGGACTGACAGACAGACAGCGGAGTCTTAGTAATAGTACATAATAGGGAATCCTAAAAACAGCCTAGCGTTATGACATGGCATTTTCCCTATTCGATTCTCTTTCATCCTTACGTAAGGTCTGAGCCCCAGTACATTAATAGGCTGGTGAAGATAATAAACATCTAACCTCGAACCAGACTTCGAACGCAGCGCTATGGTATAATAGGGATGAGGACTAATGTTTCTTTGTTTATCCGTCAGGTAGATTTGTTGAAAAATATTAAACATGCATTTATTTTTGTTTGAGTGTAAATGCCACATAATTTCACTATTTGCTATATATTTTTTTATACAAAAGTGTGAGGGTAGGTAACTTTAATGCCTGTTATCTAAGCTATTTCTTGTTAAACTGAAGTAAAAAAAAACTTTTAGAATCAGACTGGGTATAAAAAAGGAAATTCTATTATAGCTTCAATGAAATAAAACCTTTATTGTCTTTTAAAGTAGGTTTTATTTGATTGAACCTCTATACTATGACAGGCCATTTGAGGTTGTTTTATAACAGAATAACACTACTGAGCGATTCAAATTGCTAGTTTGGATTCAATTTCTACCTACGATAGCCATAAAAAGAGAATTTTGAAAATCGGTCAACAATTCGCGGAAAATTAATATACTTAAAAAAAGTACATCGTTATAAAATATAACTAAAATTGCTTATAAGTTAAAATATTGTTATATACCTTATTTTATTGATTAGACATTTTAAATCGTTCCAATAGTGTTCAGTTATATAACAAATAAAATATATAGACAAATATTTTCTATAAGTAATTTTTTCATAATTTTTCAAACATATCCCAATATCTAGCCCATACAAATGAAACAAAAGTTCTCTCCCTTTTATAATATTGGTATAGCTTTATTTATATTATATAATGAATAAAATCTTAAAATACTATTACATTTTGACAACATGTATCACGCCATGTTACACAAAAAGTGCACTTGCTACGTGGGTACAACAGATTATCAATCCAAGTTAACCACAAAAAGCCAAAATCCTATCAAACTTGAACTTTGGTCCGTTGTTATTTAAGTTGACAATTGATTACAGACTTTTATCCTCTTGTAGGAACCTCATGTGTTGTGTGTATATTTTATTTATAAACTTACCAATAGCAAAGGCTGTCCCGATCAAAGTCAGGATTATAATGAATGTCAGCTTGTTCATTTTCAGCGAGTTGACCGCAAATATAGAATTAATCTGTAAAAAGTAGGTCGATTTAAAATAGTTACCAGATGATCTTGACGACTAGAGATGAAAATTGCCGCGAAACTATCCTTTTCTGAGCAAACTTTCCGGAAAACTTCCAAAATTTCCGGCAGTTTGGAAGTTTTGAGGAGTGAATATTTTTTTTTTGTTGATTTATCTTTGTTTATTGGAAAAAGCATGTAAATCACTATTATACGATTATATATTACTAATTGTATGTTGTAAATTATACTATTCTCATAATTTATCATGTTAACAGTGTTAAGTTGGGCACAAAACAATATTCATTAAATATAGAGCAGCGTAGTGGATAAGCGCCGTAGCCCACGATCGTTGTTAACCGGCTTTCGCAAGGGTCGGTCACTAAAAAAATATTATTTCGAGGTACTCCGTGTTACGGAAAGCACGTTAAGCCATTGGTCACAGCTGCATTTGCTGTCGTTAATACCTACCCTCCAATCCACATTGGACGTCATAGCCTATCCTCCTTAATCATCTATAAGGAAGGCCCGTGCAGTGAGGAGGTAAAAGGGTTGATGATGATGAAAAATATTTGTTTACTGGAATCGTATATCACAGATATTTTAAATACTAGGATTTCTCAAAAGTACCTTAATGCAATGTCTCCCTAACATATCAATAGTGACAAATAAATAATATTATTAGACTTCAGATAGAGAGTATAATGGGAAATGAAAATGCAGTGGACCTAATTAGGAGATATTACCTAACACGTTTCTTTTTTCAATTCATTTATTTTATAGCCTAAAAATCAATGCTGTTACTCCAATCTAATAAATCACTCAACTTTGAATTTAAAAAACTTATTAAATTACCTTGTAAACATACATTAATCCTACATAAATTCAATAATATTTCAAAAAGTATCTAGTATAGTAATAGACAATCTTTATAGAGGGTAATTTGTTAAAAAAAAAAGAATTTGTAGGTAATTTTATAGAAATTCAATAGTAGCAAAACAGATTTTTAAATGGCAAAATTGTGAATGTTAGGGGTGAATACGTGTTTTTTTTACAGTTTTTTTTTTGGTGGTGTTAAAACTCTTAGAAAACGACATTGTTTTCTTATTCGGATTTTATTTAATTGTATAAAACCAGTTAAACGTGTAGGTATCCTCTTAATGTACCATCTGAAAAAAATAAAAAGCATAGGTACTAATTCTGTTTACAAATTAAGCAGAATTAGTACATATGCGTTTTATTTTTTTCAGACTTGCAAGAAATTTAAATTACATTAATTAATAATTACCGACAAATAAAATACCTTCAGTTTGGCATTTGTTAAGTTAAATTTATTTAGTATCCAATTACATAACTCATTAATTTTACAAAAACAAAAAGGAAATTCAAAGGTCACCTGTAAATAATTTCAAATTGTTAAATCGTCTTAATAAGAGGGTACTAAAAAAATAATTTATTTTTTATAGAATTTTATGAAAGCAGATTTTTTGACGATATTATAGAATGAAACATGAGTATTTTTGGTACTTAGTAATATATGGGAAAAAAAATAAGCAAACATTTTTAGCCGTGTAATTCGATATCGTCTGTGCCACGCCCGTAATTCTAAGAATTACCCCGTTTTACTGGAAAAGGCTCCCGTTACCATCGATTTCTACCAGTGATAGAATTTATGTTACCTAGTAACATTTAATAGTTTAGAATTAAAAGTATTAAAATTATAGTAAATTGGAAATTTGCCTCAATATAAAGCAAAATTTCAATGGGCAATTCTAAAGTAAAATAGATTTTATTTATCGTATTAATTGAATGAACCTCATTTTTAATTTATTATAAACAATCATAATTAACATTTGTTTTATACTATTACCTTCTTATTAATTTTGCAATTCTTGTTGGATAATTATTTATGTAGACTAAAACCAATTTATCTAAAATATATTATAGATAAATTGGTTTTAGTCTACATAAATAATCAATCTCATAAATTGATTAAAAAATAACATACTGGATTATTAAAGTGATAATATAGTTATTTAATGTCTATCGCAAATATATGCAAATAATAATTCAAAAATCAATCAAAACTAAATTTTCTTTTTTTTTTAAATGAATATGATAGTAAAATCGTGTTTGACTTTCCAATGATCTTTAACCGACGTTTATATTCAAAATGTCCGCAAGTTTATAGCTCTGCCGGAGGCATATTGGGCGATTAAATTCGATTGTATTGCTAGTTGTCTTATTAATTCGGAAATTATTTATTCATTTTAATAGAAACAATAAATACGTAAGTAATATAACTTTTCCAATAGAATTTGTAGCGATTTTGTGATGTGGATTTGGTTCAAATTATTGCTCAAGTTAACTAGAACTTTCAGGTTACCTTATAATAATTTAAATACACATGTAAATGTATATAAAGAAAAAAGGTAGGGTTGATTGGTTGTCACTAGGAAAAAATTACCTTTGCGTAACCGTTGTCGTGGGGATGATCTCAGCTGGACGTGTACACTCGCGGAGAAGAGGATCCGTAGTGTTAGTAATGATAGAAAATTCTAGGCAAATAATCTTTTCTCTGTACCCTCCAAATTAAATATTTCAAAACGGTCTTACAGGCAGAGAGCTCGCATTAAAAATGTACAAGAATTTTGTAACGGTCGATAGCTCAGTATTGGTTGGTTTACAAGTATTAACTAGATAAGTAATTTACTAAAACGTTAACTACATTATAAGCGATTTTGATATAATAACTTATTAAGTTACTTAAAATAAATTAATAATTTAGTTGACTACTTATCTACTTAATATACCTATGTAAATCAGCCATATGTCGAAGTACTAACATTACTCACTACTCAGAGTGGAGGCACAATGATGGAAGCTTCTAGAGATCGTTGATTGCGATTATTCCATTAAAATCAGTTTATTTTTCTTAGCCAACTAGTGATATTTTAATAGTCAAAATATTGATGTATCAACCGTTGCAAAAGTCTTGTAGGTTTTTGTCATGAGCTCTTGTACTATTAATCTATTAATCTTCAAACGAATACTACCAATAACCCATAGTGCCATCTGTTGAAGAACAATGGAACGAAACGAAAGTCTTGAAAGCGTGGCAACTGGCAGCATGTGTTTTGTAAGAATATGATGAGTCTGTTTTTGTGTAACAGTTTCTACGAAAACTAACTAGATGGGTTTGAGTTAAGTTTATTAAATTATATTAATTTTGTTAACTACTGTCTAATTAAACTCTGAAATATATCAATGAAAAACTAAAATGTATTAATGCTCAAAACTCACCTAGGTAAATATTTTGATATTATTTAAAGTATGGTATGATAATGAAGATATGGGTAAAAACGGGACCCTATTATTAGATTCCGTGTGCATCTGCCTATCACCAGGGTATCTTATGAACCCTGATAGACAATTTTAAGAGATGGTTTATTTCTGTTGCCGCTATAAAACCAATTCCTAAAAACATTGCTAATAAAAATAGAATAAAATATTTAAGAAGGCTTCTATAGAACAAACATTTTTTTATAGGTAATTGTATGGAAATCTTTGTGGGCGAGTCGAATTAGCATTTGACCTTTTTATTTTGTGGCGTACAATGATATAATTAACTGTAGAATAAATAAAATATGGAGAGAATATTATCTTAACTTATTACGAAGATTATGCTTGAACTTCATACGATTGAAAAAATGGCGATATGTGATTAAAGATTTTCTTGCGGCTGTTGTAATTTTCCAAGTTAGTTATTTAGGTAGAGGTTACATAAATCGTTAAAGCTGTTAACTTGTTAAAACGACAGCTGTTTATATAAGTAAATTATTAATTAAAGAACATTTAGATTGCACACTACTTTATAAAGTGGAACATCAGAAGATTTCAACAGGAAATTCTACTTTTGTAATTCGATTCAGGGACATCAAAAGAGACTCTCCTCTATGTTGTCTATTCTTGGTGGCCATCACTGGGGAAGTGTCAAATTATGGCGCGAAAACGTTGGGAACTACAGTTGTTAATTGTCTTTTTTTTCTTGTTGGGTGGCCAATAAATTTAAATATTAAAACTATTTGCCAGTATTGAGAATATGAAATATGTATTTTACTTATTTATAATTTGTTTAGTTTGACTTAGATCTTTTGTTTAATGATGTTAAATAAAAAATAATTACTTAAATTAAGCAATAAATAAATTAAAAGTTTCTTTTTAATTTTTTACTTACATGTCTACAAAAATCATAAAAATTCAACATCCATCTTTTGTAATTGCTAACATATAGAGTTTCATTCATTAATAGCTACCAAAATATACTTGAATAACTCTAAAATAAGTATGCTTACGGTCGCGTTACAAACCTCAGTGGATGTATTGCTTGAGAAAAACGAGAATCCAACAAATAAAGACCTCTGGCTCTCATTATATCTGTTATAGCGGGAGGGTCTTGGTTTGTTAGTTATTTATTTCGGGTTTAACATTCATAAATTTCAGTGAACGATCTCTGGTTAAATCATTTTAACGCCAAAACGGGGTCCGAGTAGTGCTTTTAGAAGATTTACATTTCACGACTACGACGCATTTATTGCTGGATTTTGAAATTAATTTTAGTAATCGATAAAAAAAAACAATTTAAAAGCATTGTGAATGCAAAATCACAATGCTTTTGAATTGTTTTTTTTTTGAGTTCTCATTAAAATTCTTAAAAATTAAGTGGAAAATTGTAATGGCGTATTTCATGCGTATCCGCGTGACGCGTGCGGGCATTTTCTGTTCCTAGCTTTCATTGGTCAGTGATTGTATTTCCCTCACATTCCGCGTGCTGACCCTAGAGACTTAAATTCCATTTCAAAATTTTTGTTGTAGTGAAAATACTCTAGTGTTAGCTATAAAAACGTTCTATTGATTCTATCAACGAATATTTTAAGATTTTAAAACAATGTTCTGGTTTTATTATTTACATATTTGATACATAATTCTGGTTGTTAATTATTAAAGTTAAACAAAATTTACAAAATGTCGAAATTAGACAAACAAAGTTATTTCGAAAAGACAAATTAACCAAAATGTTTGATTTGCATTATAAATAATAAAAAATATTTAATGAAAAAAAAATAACAGAGTCATAAGTAAAAACAATAAATCGTTTTAGAAC